AACGGGCTAAGGGTGTTTACGTGACTTTGTGTGTGTGTGTGTGTGTGTCCGTCTGTCTGTAACGAAATTCGTAGGGAGAGTTCCAGCCAAACTCTTAAGCCCAAATCTTGCATAGCACATCCTAGCAGCAGGATAGTCCATTGTGCAAAAGCACAAGCTGATCCGATAAGTGGATCCCCTGGAAATTGCGCGTGCAACGGGTCCACTTTGCATTTAGCCCACAAAATTGGGTCCGTAATTCCACTTTTTGCAGAGTGGTGGGTGTTTATGGCAAGTAAATGTGCAAGCCATGAACTTATGCCCAAATAAGTGGCCAAAAGTCCATTACTTTACAAAAGCGGGGCCAAAAAGTATTGTTTGCGTAAATGGTCAATTTGCCAAGGTTCTAGAAAAGCATTTGAGAAGATTTTCGCACAGAGATGTAGCTCACGGTGACTATTGCCTTTATGGCGACTATCAAACCATGACAAATTCAAAAATCTATTCAAATTTGCCTTTATCTTCCTGCGAAATGTTTTTTCCATGCGAAATCACCGATCTCACGTGAAAAAGCTTTGTAGCGGCCATCTGCGTGATGCCTTCAGTCTCAGCGCTGTCTCCGAAAATTTTTATAGGTACAAGACTGAACGACATAGAAGTAAACGCTGATGGTGCAATTACATCATCTTTGCTACGCTGATGACATCCCTGATAACGCACCAGTCAGATGGAACGAAGATTCTAGTTTTCGGGTCTCCAAGAAAAGATTGGCCTACTTGATTCAGCAAAATGTTTACAAAAGCAGAGATGTTCTGCACTTTTAAGAATCAATGCAATCGGGAAGCGGATAGAAATTCTGTTGCTTGTACGCTTAATTTTTACATTCAGTTGGATTGCGGAGTCTGTATACGGAACGAACAGGGTCTAAAATCTAACAGAAAAACCCAGAAAAATTGAAAGACGGAGCACGTAAGATATGACTGATTTGCGAATCTCGACGTATCTATTGAAGCTCAACGCATAGAGGGAAACGACTTCGCCATTTTTGTCGAATTTGAATATGGTAATAACATTTCAAATGCTTTGCGCAGTTTAAGAAGGTAAGCAAAGCTTTAATCTGCATTAAAGGTCAGATAGTTTTTGATTTTGTCAATAGACAGTCCACACACGTGATGCAGTTCAACAGTAACGTTAGGCCTCGGACAGAGCTCACGCGATTTGATCGTCGCGGTTCAATCGCTACAGACAAGTGTTACGAGTTCATTGCATGCCGATCTTCTTGCATTTCGGTTGTGATAGTTTTCCAACACGACTAATCGTGACTAACTATCACAACCGAAATGCAAATATATCGTTGCGTTTGCACGCCATTCACGCAATTTGGAAAAGTACTGGCTAAGATTTGGTGGGCAAAACTTGTCATACTCTGAAAGTCGTGTTATCATCAGAAGTAAGAAACATTAGTTGTGTTCATAGTACTCGTTCTTTCTTTCTGCTACAAACGAAATAAAGGAATGTAGGGTTTGCAGATAACGCGGAAGTGGAAACTCTTTGATCACGGGGCTACATAACTTTTGACCGCAAACTGACTAATTCTTTCTTTTATGATCGCGTCCCGTAGAGAAAGAAGTTCAAGAGTCCGAGATGACTGTGACCCATTCGTCATAAACGAATGAGAGATGGTCCAAATTCCATCCAAATTCCACTGCACTGTCCTCGAACTCCGGTGGTCAAACTATTGAGCTTTACAAAAGTACATCCCATCTTCTTTCGCAATTTACAATCATCATCTCTTCTATTTACAATTGAAAGATGAACTTCTGGAGGCACATTTTCTGTATTGGAAGTTACTGGGATGATTATTCAAAACTCTTTCGCTGTTGTCAATCATGTTTGGAGGGCACATTTTCTGTTTTGGAATCTACTGGAATCGAATTATTCAAAAACTCATTCGCTTGTTAGTCATGTCCATTATTTTTATCATAAGTACTAAGTCACGACATTTTCTTGCCTAAGTTCACTGCCATGTTATTAGGGAATTTCTTATCTTGATGGAATGCGCTTATATCAGCTTACATATGTAAGTGCTCAGATAAACGCCGGGGGCAGGCGGTCCGCAAACTCGCGCTTTTCTGCAGGCGGTCAGCAGAATTTTGGGGCGTGGCCAAACCTTCAGCGGGCGGCACTTCCTTTACGGTCGCATATTCTGCCAACGGGCAGCAATACAGCATTTTTTGCAAGCGCTCGGCAAATAATTTCTTTCAGCGAGCGCTGGCCAAACTTTCAGCAAGCGCTCGGGCTCTTTTTAGGCATTTTCGGGCGTACGTCGAGCACAGGTAAGACTCTGTGTGGCAGAGGTGTCACCGTTGGTTTAATTGCTCAAGTTTGAGGCACTTTCTCTCAGCGGAAAGTACCTGGGGGTTGCGCGGTCCTCCACAAAGGACCGTGCGGCCCTCGAAATTTTTGCATATTCTCGCGGAAAGTTCGCGAGAATGCGGCCACTGCGCCGCAGCTAATCTGTAAAGAAACCGCGACTGTTCTTCAACCATTCGTCTCTAATTTCGCCAACTTTCTTCCAAATTTCTGCAAGCGGGCCGCAAAAAATCAACGAAGTATTTTTCCGGTGCGCGCTTGCTCAAAATTCGCATGGCCGCCTGCCCCCGGCGGTTATCTGAGTGGCTAGCAAAGTCTGGTGAAGCTTACAAAGAAATGGTCAGGACTTAACCCAGCTATCTCAAACAACCTATGAATCATGGGGCTCGTCTTAAAACGCTGATTGCAAATATATGTTTTTTATCTGCCAAGCGACTATGTGGGAGAGTTATGAGCGTTCAAATATGAAAAATTCTTCGAGTTTCGACGAATATATTTCCTCGCAAGGCAGCCTGATGGCGCGGACCTGCAGTGGCTATGGTATTTTGACAACAAGGGAGAAGTACATTCACCAGAAATTTAAATAGATGTTTTTGAAACCTCATTCGCGGAACATGTCCCACAGAACACTTGACAAATCGCATATTCTAACACTCATAACTCCTCCAAATAATTGTCTGGCAGATAAACATTTGTGATCAGCGTACTAAGAAGAGTCCGAATGATATACAGCATGTTTGGTATGGCTGGGTTGAGTTCTAACCATTCCCTGCTTAGTAAATCTATGTGTTATGTTCACTGTTTACCCACTCTTTATGGTTACTATTCTTCAGTTATTCCGCCCCTGTGATCACCACAGCTGCTTGCAAAGCGTCACACATTCAAAGTACCTTTGAATCAGACCTATTAAACATTTGGCCGACTCTGTAACATATATAAGTCGTCTTGAGTCCGTCCTACAGATAAGTCCTTTATCATGACTCATAATAACGGGCTAAGAGTGTTTACGTGTTTTTGTGACTCTGTCTGTCACTGTAACGAAATTCCTAGAACGAGCCGCAGACAAGGTATCAAGGCTAAATCGTGCAAGAGCATGAGCAGATTTGTTGAATTTTCCTCAGAAACTCCGTGTCAAATGGATTCACTTGGCTTCTGGACTGTAAAATTGGGTCCGTATAACGACTTTTTGCGGAGTTATGGTTGTCTTTGACAAGTCAATATGCAAGCCAAAACCTTTAGCCAACGAAGGGGTTGAAAGTCTATTACTTCACGAAAACGGAGCCAAGATAAATTGATTGCGTAAATTGTCAAAGTGCCAGGCTTTTACCTAACAAGTGAATGGTCAGAAGTCGAAGTGGCCAATCCAAACAAGTTGCATACCATTCGATACAACTTAGAAAGCTGGTTTCAAATCTGTGTTCCATATCTCAGAGCGCTTTTGTAAGCGAAGTTATGACCAGCTTTAGTGCGAAAATTTGTACACAAAAATCGCGAGATTAGGCACATTATTGCCCTCTCTCTCCTTTAGGACACTGAGCCAGGATTGGCTGCGCACGGCAAAGTTCGCCCTTTACACACACAATCTCTTAGCAAAATAATGGCTAAGTAGACTTAGTAAAATAACGGCTTATAATTCCATCCACAAATGTGGTCTGCAGATAAGGAAGACAGATTCGGAGTCAGTGTTTTATGCTGCATCTAATGGTATGCAGCTTGCTTGAATTGACCATTTCGATTTCTGGCCATTCCCTTGTAAGCACCGTGGATACTATCCTTATGGCGACTACCAAGCCAAGAAAAAAAGTGTTCTAATTCTGCATTTATTCTTCATTTTCCAAAGTTTCATTCAGTCAAAACTCCGATCTTCATACGAAGAAGTTTTGAATGAGCAGTAACGATTCATTCGTGAAGGCATTCATTACGCGGTAAGTTTCAATGCCACGTCATGCGAGAATGAATATGGCATATAGATATAGACAGATAGACATAGTCTGCCCCAATCGAGATCAGGCCGAACCGTCGACTGAATTTGCACGCTCGCAGTGTGAGAGGTTTGCGCTGCATATCCGCGCTGTCGCAGAGAGCTAAAAGATTGAGGAGAGCGCAGACTAGCTAGCCGTAGACGTGACGCAATACCCTCGCGATATGGACTCCCGCCATGCCAATTTTGGCCTGGTTTGGATTGGGGCAGACTGTAGTAGAAAAGCTAGTGCGAGCCTGCGAAGCAGAAGTGACGCACTGGTCTTATTATGACTACCCTAAAATCAGTCAAATAAGTCCAAACTGTTAGAAAAGTCAGGAGTTATTTCCAAAAGGGTTTTTCTGGGGAGGGGGGGGGGGGGGAGAGGTCCTTTCTGGGAGATATAAGCATACATGTAATTCTTGTATCGCTCGTAGTTTGGTTAGATGCTCTTGTATTAAAGCTTCAGTTCAAGTTTGGAGTGTTGCTGTGCATGTAAGAACCGTAATTTCCAGCAGATAGCTAGCGGAAAATGCGTAATTTTCCTTTTCGTTCATCCCAAAAATATCTTCTCAAAAACTTCTAGACATAGCTTCTGTAAGAAGTGCAGACTTCCATCTTCAGCGAACCTACCTGAAATGACGCATTGAGCCATTGAGTTGAAACCAGCAGTAGAGTTTGCATTCATTCATCCGGTGCAGTTGGTGCACGATGAAGTCGATAAAGCCCCGGAAGGACCCCATTGTACGCCTTCATCGTCAAGACCGTGAGTCAGTTCATGGCCTGAAATTTTTTATTTATGGATGGATCAATAATTTATTTTTATAAATGCATATTTTTTCAACAAAGAAAATACCTGCAACAATACCCATGCCACCGTAGTTGATGGATGCTGGCCATAACGGACGGAAGTATGACGGTTGAAAAATATCAGCTGGGAACGTTATCGAGTTTAATTCAGGCTAAAATCGCAGACTTTTTGGGATGCTAGAGTAAGGCATGACTTTTATTTACCTGATACCAGGAGTTGACAGTTCCAGGTTGTCCAAGGAAGTCAGAACGATCTGTTTGAGAAAACGTGAGCTGCTTGTGCTGTAATCTTATGTTAAATCTGTAAAAATAGTCCTAGTCTTTCACGAGACTGGGAGGAATAAATCAAATTTGAATTTTTTCAATGCTTGATGAGTAAATAAGCCAAAAAATATTTTGTTTCTCTCCGTTTAATTCATTACTCTGATTTCATTCTACTGCTCTACCTTGTGTTATGTCTATTTTTAATTGAAAGCATGCCGATGTGCTAGGAATAAGTGAATAAATAAACAAATTTCCTTATATTATCAGTTTAGAGTACATATCGAGGTTGTTGTCCGCAGGATCAAAGGAGAGATCCTGATAATATGCGTCAAGCTGCTTATTGTCCATAATCTAATCAGGGAATGCGATGTTTTCGACTAAATATGGAATTTTTGTTGTAGATCAGATAACTTTTGTAATGTCTTCCTTACTTAATTCCATGGTCTTGTTATAGGCCTTTCTCTTTGAGGTCCCCTTCATTAACGTAACCTTTTGATTTTCAAATAATTATGGGAAGTAAGTCTCAAGAATTTGAAAAATTCAGTACCTTCGATCTTATCACGGAACTCGCACGGAGTAAATCTTGTAATATATGGAACAAAGACGTTGCTACCATCTCTAATTGTCTATACCTGTAATTATGAAATGCAAAAGTTGCGATGTGAAATTGATTTTATTTTTTTGCAAGATATTATGCATATGAATCTCTTAGCATCCTTTAAAACTTTTTTTTATCAGCGCTCTCAAATTTATGTATGTTGATATTAGGTTGATGCATAATTCTTGCACCAAATTTTTTGAGATTCTGTCATTTTCTCCAGCTTCAATGAAACCCTCTGGTTTGATAAACAATTGAGAGAGAAATTCTTGTGCTTCTAGAATTTGCTTGAATTCTACTCTTGTTAAACATAATAAAGAGATATTGTGCAAATTTACAAGTGTTAAAGCATTTTTGATTAATATTTTCTATTTTTTGGTGCAAGAACAATGCATCAACCTAATATTTACAGACTGAATTTTTAGAATGGACATTTTTCATGTTCATATAGCTGTACTTCACCCTCAGTTATGATTAGCAAAGTTTACCTTGTAAAATCGAATTTGATTCTTTACACAGATATCATGACTTATAATAAAGCGCTAAACGTCTGTCTTTTTGTGCGTGTGTGTGTATGTCTGTCTGTCACGAAATATAGAGGGAGCTGCAGCCAAGCTTTCGAGCTACAATTTTGCATAACATACCGTGCCAACATGTAGGTCCACTATGTACAAATAGAAGATAAATTTTACGTACTACACTTTTACTCCGTTTCGTTCCTTCCCTTAGACGGAGTTTGACTTAATTACTGGGTCTTCCCCGGAACTCCTCAGTAAGGAAGGAAGACCCAGCATCAAGTAGAAAGTTTGCATTTAGAAAATTTTTATAATTGTTAATTACAGTATATAAAATGTAGCATGACTTACTTTCTGATGGCGTTGCTCATACTATAAAGCCGCTTCGAAAGTTGTAAATGGATAAATGAAGTACCAAATTTTTATATCAAGCTACTATTGTTTATATTCTTTGTTACTATCTTATATTCTCACTTTTATAGGCTTTGCGATTTTACGGTTGGATAATTATAATCATTATGTATAACATCTGTTATACTTGCAATATTTCAGCTAAAAGTTTATTTTTTGGTTTCTCGTACAATTTGTACATATACAGAATAAATTTATTTTATTTATGCATATAAATATACTTGATGAGATAATGTATGAATCAATTGGTTAGTTAGAAGTGTTAATTTGAGTTGTGTAACTTTGTTGATGAAATCACTGAGTAAACTACATGTACGCGCTATTCTTAATGTTTCTGTATATATTGTAGCTTTTTTAATGTTACTAGAAGAGGTGTGTATGAATTTTTTTAGAAACTTAAAATCATCTGTTTTGTTATATAGTTTGGTTACTATTTTATTATTTCTTATTTCTATGTCAAGATCTAAATAGTGACATTTATATTGATTTTCATGAGTTGATTCTATAGCAAGTGTATCTTTATAAACTTTTTAAATTATATTTTGTATAGTATGTTTTTCCGGATTATTTATAATTACTAGGTTGTCAAGAAAATAATGTCCGTTTTTATTTGCTTGCTTTAACAAAGCAACCAGACTCAACCCAACAAAGGATAATGGGTATTGTTCGATAGAGCGAAGCAAGCTCTACAAGATGGCACTCATGCCTTTGCGCCATGCTCAATCCATAGAGAGTTCGAACTCAAAATCTAAAGATTTCCAAATGCCCAAAAAATCGAAGAAAAATCAGATCTTCATCCAGATAATTTATACGGACCTCCCACTTGCTCGCATCAATACTATCGATATCTGATATCCATATGTGCAATTGCCGTATTTTTTCCTTGACTAGAAACTGAGAAAACGAAAATTTCCCTGTTTTTCTCAAAGCAATGCTGAGCTGTTTTTGCATATGTAGTCCTATACTACAAGCCTAGATAAGTATAACTGTAGATTTTCAGCCCATTCCAAGCGGTAGTTTTCGAAAAATAACGAATTCGGATTTTTTCGTTTTAGTTTCAGTGCTAAAATCGACATTTCTCGAAAAGTACCGCTCGAAATAGGCTGAAAACCTACAGTTATGCTTACCTAGGCTTGTAGTATAAAACTACATATGCAAAAACGGCTCAGCATTGCTTTGAGAAAAACAGGGAAATTTTCGTTTTCTCAGTTTCTAGTCAAGGAAAAAATACGGCAATCGCACATATGGATATTAGATATCGATAGTATTGATGTGAGCGAGTGGGAGGTCCGTAGAAATTATTTGGACGAAGATCTGATTTTTTTCGATTTTTTGGGCTTTTGGAAATCTTTAGATTTTGAGTTCAAACTCTCCGTGGATCGAGCATGGCGCAAAGGCATGAGCGCCATCTTGTAGAGCTTGCTTCGCTCTATCGAACAGTACCCATTAACCTTTGTTGGGTTGAGTCTGGTTGCTTTGTTAAAGTAAGCAAATAAAAACGGACATTACTTTCTTGACAACCTAATAGTAAATCATCCATATATTATTTATATGGAATAAATCGTTTGTCATTTGTAATATTATTTATTGAGTATATGTATTCTAATCAGGAATGTGTGAGGGGCAAAAAAAAAGAGGGCTGAAATTACCTCTCTGAATTACTCCTATTTTTTGTTCCAATATATATGTACTAAATTTACGAAAACTGTTATCAGTTATATATATATATTCTGTTAGGTACAAAACAAGTAAAAACAAGTTATCATGACTTATAATGTGTTGTATGAGGCCTTTGGGAATTTTAGGATACATCCCTTCTATCTTTCTTTCACGATCTTTCAGAGTATTTTTTACCTATGCAAAACATTGTTTAAAAAAAGTGCGATTATAATCGAGTGCTATACATACAGATTGATATGCCTTTAGTGTTTCAGTTGTTACGTAATTCGGATATGCCTCAATTGATGAAGCAAACCCGAATCCAATACTCAACTATGTACAAGATTGCGAAGCTTTCTGAACGGTGTAATCACACTTTTTGGAAACATTGAAACGGCCGCTACTGCTCAAAGTTGCGAACTTCACATTTGGAATCAGCATCTCTAATTAGCCTAGTGTGAAAGTTTTCAGGTTGTTTGTTCCCCATCTGAGGCAAAATAAGGCTTTTTATTGCTTAAAACCCTCTTCAAAGTTACTATCATAATTCTACAGTAACGGAAAGCACTCGGTAATTCGCTTCAAACCGTAAATCTAACAATAATTTGAAGCCAGCTCTACAAAATGGTGCCTAAAACTTCTCGAAAGACTTCATTACAAGAGAGTTGTTAACAATCAAACCGTAGGCACATTTTTTTCGGACACCCTGTACACTAAAAATCCAAAGGTTTGCTAACAATAAGGCAATGCTGCCTATCTGGTAACTTAGTAATTACAAAGATTTGATAAATTAAGCAAAACCAATTCATTTCTCTTATCTTCTGCTATAGCTAAGCATTGACCGTAAGTTTGCAGTGAATTTAGAGCAGTATCCTTCGTTACGTCTCGACTACCATAATCCATACAAAAAATTTATCAGTTTCTTGTAAGACTTAGGCGCAGATTAAACAATCATCCACGCTACCTTTCTTTAATCTTTTCCGTCAGACAGGGTGACCTTATCAAAATGAGTGAGTGTATGTACATTTATGGCTACACAAATTCAGCAAGTTGCTTCGCTGGCAGTCCCAATGCTTGATAAGGGTTGTTGCTGATAAGCGCGACTTGTGTATGTGTAAGCTCAAGATTAGAGAAATATTTCATGATTGTGGTAAAGCACACGGTACGCTTAGATTAAGAAAAGGTGAGGAAACCTGTTCGAAATTTTGCTGAGAATATTTGGCAGATTAGGTATTTCGTTTTCTCCGTTGATAAAACAAATAGTATCGCTCGGACAAGTATTTTTGAGCATGATAAGCAGAGAAATTCAGTGTCAAGAAGCCAACATCAAAAATAAATGTAAGTGCCATTGGTTGGTAGATAATAACATGTACCAGATGGTCCCAGCAATTTTTCCTCACGTAGAAGGGAGTCAATTTTGGGTTTGCGAGATTTTTCGCCAGATAACATTTTTGAAAGCCTCAAAAAAGTTTTTCAAAAGTATTTCGATTGATTATTTAGAATTTTCGATGGAATTATCGGAACAAGCTAATATATAATAATTGGATGATTAAATGAACAATTATGTTAAACGAAACATAGAGGCTTTTGCTTGATAGCTCATAATATGAGGTTAGTAACATTTGTTATATAAAAGAAGAAATCCTCATACTCTTAGAAAATTTTTCTTTATTTACAAATCATCTGGAGCGTTAAAGCTTGTCTATACAAACATCTCACAGATAAGAATTTCAATTTTTCAATTTATGATTTCTGAGTCATTTCTAGCATCTTTGCAACTTATTAATCGAAAGCTTGAATTTGCGAACTGCCTTCATATCAGCGATGATGTTCTCGCATGGAAAATTTAAGAAAGCGAAAAAGAAGAATGAGAGAATTTTGTAAGAAAAAGAAAGAAGACTGGGGAGAAGTGATTTTCAGGATTGCCTTTGTATTACAGTAGCATGCCTATGAAGATCAAAATGACGTCATTTATTAGCCTTTTGTTCTTCTCTCCAACATGCCAAATAAGCGAGTAATCTAGAGTACTTTAAAGGAAGACGAAGATAACGATATTTATGTTACTACCTAATATTATCTTCAGACACCGTAGCGGAAAAATGATATCTTTACGGCTAAAACCGCAGCCTTCCGACGAGGGTAATTGCACTCACCTGGTTTCAGGGGATTTATGGGATTAGTGTTGTTATTGTTAGTCCTGCTATTGTAGATGTTTACAACCTCGACGAGTACCGCTATGCTTCTGCCCAATATAGAGATGATTATCAGGACCGCGCCTGGAAAAGTGAATTTTGTTGAATCCGCTCTATTATAAAATAATTTGAAAAATTTTTTACATATGGCGGAAGTACTAAATAATTAAAACTTACAGTGGCAACTGCCTGAACGACGGTTTGCTTGCCCATAGCTAGCAACCGCTCGAGGTTGCCGGCTGTTGCGAAAAGCAGATAAGGCGCCGAATTCGGCAGCGGTAGCCTCTTGTAGCACACTCAGTAAAAATATGATCGAAAAAACTTTCGTCATATCACATCGGGTCAAGTACAACTAGAAATTTCATCGGTAAGTGAGCAGGAATTCACTATTTCTCGTGCTGGGATATCTTGGAGCGATTAATTCCCTGTGATTCTCAAAATTAGAACTTTTCCTTTCGCTGGCACTTAATTTGTAACTATTATAAACTAAATTTTGTAAAAATAAAGAATGAAGGACGCAACATGCTCATACATTACAGGTATGTGTATGCGCCCAAAGCATTTTGAAGGCTGCTGCATGACGAAGGCGCACAAGCATTATTTGTTAGCGGACGCGAAGCTGCGCGCGCGTATCTTCACCGTTGTAAATCTTGCGCCTTATGCGCTCTGCGGCTAACGAGACCGCGTTCGCGCCTAAGGATATTGCGCCTTTATCATGCGGCAGCCTATACCTCTTATTGCTAGTTACGCATGCGTGCTAAGGTTTAGGTCTACGCTGACTTGCGGGTCAGTCAATTACTTAGTCAGTGCTACGACCCTCCAAGATTACTCTGGTACCAGTTCACCGCCCCCAGAAAGTAGCGAGCTTTATTGGCTCTGGAACGAAGTCCGAGACTACACGGTTCATGCCACTATGCCACTCGTCCCAACATGTTAAAGTCTTAAAGGCACCGTCCCCCCCCCGAGTTTGGGGTCAGCTTTCGTCAGTTAACGATAGTAGACCCCTTATCACGCCTATCCCCAAGTCTCGGTGCGGTGCAGAACGTCGCTTCGGTATAACGAAGAGGCACGAGAACCGGCAGTTGGCACCGCCACTCTAATGCCCGCCCATCCTTGCGCGCCCATCGAACCACCATTCCCGAGAACCGGCCTGCGAGGTTTACCAGACCGCGGATTCTCGACTTCATATTCGGAATCAGGGACATAAGAAGGCCCGGGAGCGACCAAAACATGATAGTCGAGAATTCGGGTGGACGGTGCCTTTAGAGGCTTCAGTTATCTTCGAAGTACAAATCTAGTGACTTGTTTCTCACAAGAGAGAGTTCCCAAGTCAGCTCCGCAAACCCGGATGAATCATATATTACCGCAACGGGCTTGAAACGCTAATTCCAAATTTGCTTTCCTATTCTGCGGAGCTCCTCTCCGAGAGAAGTTATAAGCGTTCAAATGTCTAATTTGTCATGTTTATAGTGGCTTAAAATCAGTTGAAAACTGTAAAACAACACCTAAGGGTATTTCACTATCTGTGTTCCGTCATTGTAATCAAAAAATTTGATACAAAACTGATAAATCACTTTCATGTGTTATTGTACAGGTTTCGCCAATTTTAAGCCACTTGAAACATGACAAATTTAGACATTTGGGCGCTCATAACTTCCCTCGGAGAGTTGTTCCGCAGAAAAGGATAGCAGATTTGGAATCAGCGTTCCGAGCCCGTTACGGTGATATATGACTCATCCGGGTTGGCCGAGCTGACTTGGGAACTCTCCCTCGTCAACTTTATTATCATGCTACGTCTGTCTTCTTAGGGTATATCCTTACAAAACATCTCAGTCCATACTCATGTTCAGCATCACTTTGCTATCCTCTTTTCATCAAACGGATCTGTCACAGATGATACTCGAGCAAGCTCATGAGATCCCGCTAACTTGCGCACATGTAGACGCGACAAAGAAGGCTTTTTGTGGGACGAGGAGAAAATGTAAATGTTAACAAATTTCGAAATTCCAGATTAAAATGAAAGGTAGCAGGAATAATGAAAAGAGCATTAGGTTTTGTCTACATCATAATTTTGAGTCAATAAGCGTTTATACTCACAATTAGTTCCTGTGCCACTTTTTCTGATGGCACCCTGTTGCGCCGCAGACGCTATTTCGCTGGGAAATTTCCCAACTTTTCCCTACGACCGCGGTCTGGCTACTTGCAGCATATTTCAAAGACACTACAACATTCCTTAATCAGTAAAAGATTTCTCAAATTCACCTTGAAACAAAAAAAAATTCAAAAACCTTCACATTTCTTTCATATTTGTATATGAGAATTGAAAAATTGATATGGGATGCGCTACGAAAAACGATCCTCCGCCGAGTGAAACTGCAAAATTCTTTTAGGCCAGCTTTTGTAGAAGGCTAGAATACATTCACACCTTAGGATTTATGTCCAATTTACCAGAAAAACCTGGGAATTGCGCCGACTTCTTGCCTTTATGGCGAGGGACAGTTATTCTGCACCCTGTAGGTATTATTTATTTTAAAGGAAAAGTGGAGCCATTTTTGCTAATTTGTAAATATTTACATTTTTTCCTCGTCCCACAAAAAGCCTTCTTTTGTCGCGTCTTTATGTACGCAAGTTAGCGGGATCTCATGAGCTTGGTCGAATATCATCTGTGACAGATCCGTTTGATGAAAAGAGGATAGCAAAGCGATGCTGAACATGAGTATGGGTTGAGATGTTTTGTAAGGATATACCCTAAGAAGACAGACGTAGCATAATGATAAAGCTGAGAAACAAGTCACTAGATTTGTACTTCAACGATAACTGAAGCCTCTAAAGGCACCGTCCACCCAAATTCTCGACTATCATGTTTTGGTCGTTCCCGGGCCTTCTCATGTCCCTGATCCCGAACATGAAGTCGAGAATCCGCGGTCTGGTAAACCTCGCAGGCCGGTTCTCGGGAATGGTGGTGTGATGGGCACGCACGGATGAGCGGGCATTAGAGGGGCGGTGCCAACTGCCGGTTCTCGTGCCTCTTCGTTATTCCGAAGCGACGTTCTGCACCGCACCGAGACTTGGGGATAGGCGTGATAAGGGGTCCTACTATCGTAAACTGACGAAAGCTGACCACAAACTCGGGGGGGGGGGACGGTGCCTTTAAGCCTTTAACATGAAGTTGGGACGAGTGGCATAGTGGCATGAACCGTGTAGTCTCGGACTTCGCTCCAGAGCCAATACAGCTCCCTACTTTCTGGGGACGGTGAATGTCGCCAATCGACAACAAGAAAGAACAAGGAAATATTCGATGCAAACTTTACTTCAGGCTATTAAAAACAGCGCGACCGAGTGACTCAGGGCGGCAGCCGCGCCAGATGGCAACAACGATCCCGACCATGCAGAGCTTCATTTGGTGTTCACTCGGATGTGCTCCGCGCACTTGGTTTATCACTTGCTTTAGCACTTGCTTTATTGCTTTGTTTGATCTCCTTGATTATCAAAAACTATCCTCTAACTGTTGTAATTCAATCATGATTCTCAGTCGCTCTGTTTGCATTTAGTTTTCTACTGATTTTTCAAAACAAATCCAAAATAAGCTAAAACTCAAGTATTTTGGAGAAATTGACAAAATATCATTAAATCACTTTTAATCGCATACTTTTGTGTAACCATTATTCCTCAATGGCATTGCTATCTTGGAATTTCACAACCTATTGTTATGCAGTTTTAGAGACATGTTGCGTTATTTGTTTATTGTTTGTTTACCTCTAATAAACGGTTTAATTACCCAAGTTTGAATTGAGGTACGCGTCGATCCAAGTCAGCCCGCGTGGCATCCATCGTTATCGTTGGTATTAGAGGATTATCGTTCTGCATATATACCGTAACCTCCAACTCAGTGAACTGGTACCAGAGTAATCTTGGAGGGTCGCAGCACTGACTAGGTAATTGAATGACCCGCAAGTTAGCGTAAACCTAAACCTTAGCACGCCTGCGTAACTAACAGTAAGAGGTATAGGCTGGCATGACGAAGGCGCAATATCCTTAGGCGCGAACGCGGTCTCGTTAGCCGCAGAGCGCATAAGGCGCAAGATTTACAACGGTGAAGATACGCGCGCGCAGCTTCGCGTCCGCTCAACAAATAATGCTTGTGCGCCTTCGTCATGCAGCAGCCTTCAAAATGCTTTAGGCGCATACACATACCTGTAATGTATGAGCATGTTGCGTCCTTCATTCTTTATTTTTACAAAATTTAGTTCATAATAGTCACAAATTAAAGGTCAACGAAAGAAAAAGTTCTGATTTTGAGAATCACAGGGAATTAATCGCGCCAAGATATCCCAGCACGAAAAATAGTGAATTCTTGCTTATTCATCAGTTCATAATTTAGCATCCTAACCCGACGTGATATGACGAAAGTTTTTTCGATGACATCTTTACCGAGTGTGCTACAAGAGGCTATCGCTGCCGAATTCGGCGCCTTATCTGCTTTTCGCAACAGCCGGCAACCTCGAGCGGCTGCTAGCTATGGGCAAGCAAACCGTCGTTCAGGCAGTTGCCGCTGTAAGTTTTATTTATTTAGTACTTCCGCCATATGTAAAATTTTTTTCAAATAATTTTATAATAGAGCGGATCCAACAAAGTTCACTTTTCCAGGCGGTCCTGATATTCATCTTACTCTCTATATTGGGTATAAGCATAGCGGTACTTGTCGAGGTTGTGAACATCTACAATAGCAGGAATAACAATAGTAACAACACTAATCCCATAAATCCCCTGAAACCAGGTAAGTGCAATTACAACTCATATCGGAGTGTTTTTGCCCATAAAAATATCGTGTTTCCGCAACGGGGTCTGGGCATGATGTCAGGTCGTAAAATAAATTGCTATCTTCTTCTTTACCTCGCGTACATACACTAAAAACTTCGTCTGATTCGTGTATCTGGCATGTTGGAGAATGAATCAAAAGGCTAATAAATGACGTCATTTTGATCTTCACGGCATGTTACCGTAATTATATAGGCAATTCTGTAAATACACTCCACTCCAGCTTCCCTTTCTCTCATTCTCTCATTTTTCTTTTTCACCTTCACGATCATGACCGAGAGCATAAGCGCTGATACCAAAGCAGTCCAGTTCAAGCTTTCGATTAATAAGTTGCAAAAATGCCAGAAATAATTCGGTTTTTTCAGTAAATTTTTCAGTATCAAGTTTTTCATGAATTAAAAATTTGATATTATATATGAGATGTTGGTAGAGACAAACTATCAGTTCCGGATAAGTTGAAAATGAGCAAAGAATTTTTCAGAAGTTATGAGAACTTCTTCTTTTAAATATGACAGAACTTATGTTACTACCTAATATCAAGAGCAAGCAAAAGCCTCTATGTTTCTTTTAAGGAAAATGCTTACTTGATCATTCAATTCATATAGTTTGTCCTGATAATGCCATCAAAAACACTAAACGTTTAATCAAAACAATTTCGTAAAGATATTTCTGAGGCTTTCAAAGTTATAACCTGGCGAAAAATTTTGCAGAAATTCTGAAATTGACCCCTTTTCCGCGAAGAAAAATTGCTGGGACCATCTGATATATCTTTTTAACGACCAACCTTTGCAGTTACATTTATTTTTGATGTTGTCTTTTCGACTCTGAAATTCTCTGCTCTTTATGTTCAGAAAGAGACTTGTCAGGGCAAGACTATTTGTTTTATCAACAGAAAAAACCTACCTAAATGTATACTTGCCAAAAATTCTCAGAAAAACTTCGAACAGGTTCCCTCACCTTTACTAATCTAGACCTTACGTGTACCTTATCACAATCATGAAATGTTTCTCTAATCCTGATACACATACATAAGTCGCGCTTATCAGTGACAACCCGTTATCAAGCATTGGAACTAATAACGAAGCAACTTGCAAATTTCTGTAGCCATAAATGTACACTATTATGATAAGGTTACTGTCTGACGGACAAGATTAAAGAAAGGTGGCGTGGATCATTGTCCAATCTGTGCTCAAGTCCTGCAAGAAACTGACAAATTTTTGTATGGACCGTGGTGGTCGAGATCTGGTAATAGAAGATACAGCTCTTAATTCACTGTAAACTTACGGTCAATACTTAGCTATAGCAACCAAGAAATAATTTGATTTTGCTTAATTAACCAAATCTTTGTAATTACTAAGTTGCGATATAGACAGCATTGCCTTATTGTTAAAGGCAGTGTCCAAGCAAAAAATCGATTTCGAGATTTTGTGCTCACTTGGACCTATTCGCCATGCTGAATCTGAAAATCAACAGTGGAGAGCGCGAAAACGGCGAAAAGGGGCTTTAACGGAGGAGGAAAATTGCAGGTGGGCGGGGCTGTTCACATAGTGACGTCACTCTCCCAGCTTCAGGAGCGATCTTCTCGCTTCTGCTAGTCGCCCTATCATCACCACCAGCCTACTGCGAAACGCATGACATAAAATCGGAATCGAGAAGATGGCTCCTAAAGCCTGGGAGAGTGACGTCACGGTGTGAACAGCCCCGCCCACCTGCGATTTCCCGCCTACTTCAGGGCTTTTTCTGGCGTTTTCGCGCTTTCCAATGTGGTTTATCGAATTCAGCAGGGCGAATAGGCCCGGGTAAGTACAAACTATGGAACTCGGTAATCCGCTAATCTCAAAATCGACTTTTTGCTTGGACACTGCCTTTAAGCAAACCTTTAGACTATTAGTATATAGGGTGCCAAAAAAATGTGATTACTGATTGTTAACAACTCCCTTGTAATGAAGCTTTTCGAGAAGTTTTAGGCATCATTTTGTAGAGCTGGCTTCAACTTAGATTTACGTTTAAAGCGGATTACCGAGTTCCATAACTGAAGGATTATGGTAGGAACTTTGAAGAGGGTTCTAAGCAACAAAAGGCCTTATTTTGCCTCAGATGGGAAACAAAACAACCTGAAAACCGCACTAGGCTAATTAGACATGCTGATTCTAAATGTGAAGTTCGCAACTTCATCATAAAACTTTACCAAAAGTTATGCAGGGAAGCAGTAGCGGCCGTTTTAATGTTTCCAAAAAGTGTGGTTACACCGCTCAGAAAGCTTCGCAATCTTGTACATATACTGTGGACCCCGGCCAGCTTCCCATAGGTACCTGCGCGACGCATCCGCAACGCCTTCAACGCTCCTCCTGTCGATGGAACTCCTTGCTTTTCTCTCATTTCTTGTTTTTTTACTACATTCCCTCTATTTCAGGTATAAACAATTCGCATAACCGGTGACGAGGTTTCACGTGCTCTACTAGGCTTGAGAGCTTCGGTATTGAGTACTGGTCTTGTGTTTTTCCCTTTTTTCTGAGAGATTGAGATTTGAGGTGTATTCTAAGAGAATATTAATTCCAAAAGCTTTTTGTAGCAAATAAGAGTCCCTCTCGACTTGATTTTTAGAGTGTAGACAGTGTATCAAGTCAAATTAAGCCTTTCGAGAAGCCGGTAGGGATTTGTTTACGGAAATATCCACATTTCTTGAGTTATTTTACCATTCTAGTTTCTAAGTTTACGAAAGGAAACGTTTTGAGAATGCGGTTGTTCTTTTTCTGCTCTACGTTTACTTATTAGCGCTTTTCCATCGGTGCAAGTCTGAAATTTGCAACCATTGATTGAATTTGAGGTACTAGTGCAGGATGCGTGCGTTTTTTTTTTGTATACGTTTCTTTCGAAGTGTACTTACGGGCTTCCACTTCTCAATTCTCTTCTATGGTACGTAGACGTGCTTTATTGCTCGTAAGTGAGGTGAGAAGCATCAAGAAATGCACGCGCTGCGGTTGCGCCGCGGAGGTACCTATGGGAAACTGGCCGAGGTCCACACAGTTGAGTATTGGATTCGGGTTTGCTTCATCAATTAAGGCATATTCGAATTGTGTGTATAGCACTCGATTATAATCGCATTTAATTTTAACAATGTTTTGCATACGTAAAAAATACTCTGAAAGATCGTAAAAGAAAGAAGGGATGTATTCTAAAATTCCCGAAAGCCTCATACAACACATTATAAGTCATGATAACTTGTTTTATTTCAATCTGTGGAAGAAAATGTGCTCCTTACGGGTGTATGAGAATATTCAAATGGCATTAAAAATACAGCAATACCTCACTTCTTTCAGTAAATCCTCTCAACATTCAAAATCCTTTGCAAGTAGTACCTGGAGATGCTCGATACTCAGGTTACGAAAGCGCCACAAGCTTATTTAAGTCCGTTTGCTCCACTTTAGGAACTTTTTGGCTAATTGTATTTTTCAGAGCATCGCTGAACTCTAGTGTCGATCCATGCAACGACTTTTATCAGTACACATGTGGAAATTTCAACGGAGATATGAGCTTCGATGTGTCCGATATGAATAATGCTATTGCCATGGCTGAACAGATGAACAATCTTACATATGTTAACAGTTCGGTAAGTTGTACTACTGAGATAGGAGCGGCAAATTATAATAATCAAATGAATTATTATTTTTAACCTTTGCTTTAACTGGAATGGCGGCTGGAAAACGGGCTTTGTGACCGAATTAATCCGCATGTCTGCGTCTCTCTCGCGCGCGTGCTCCCTGATCATTCTCTTTAACTGGGTTACGAAGCCCCGCCTTCCAACCGCCAATCCAGTTGAAACAAAGGGTAGAATTGGCTCGTCTAAAATTATATATGGAAAAAAATCATTTTCTCTAAATATAATAGAAACAAATTGAGGATGCCGTCAAAATAATCTTTTTCTTTATTGATACGTGCAAGAACACGTAAGTAAATGAAAGAACAGGAATAACCTGTAAGGCAGAGACCGACGGATAGAGGTAGAAAATTGAGAAAAGAAGGAAATCAGTAAGAATAACAACAACTTTAACAGGAAAACAACAGAACAAATAAGAACATAAAATGTTGACCAACTACAAAATATCAATGATCAGGAAGTAGGATGGCTTGTAAGGTGTTGAACCAAGAAGTTTTGAAGAGCGTCTTGTGCCAATAACTTATTTGGTCAGGCTAAATTCTCGAAGCAAAAAACCTTGCTCTCAAAAGTGTTTTAGCTTTTGGGGCTCTAAGTTTCAACACTTCACCTCTCGTTCTAGAGGAACAAACATCAAAAAACTTTGACAAATCAGTCTTACATCTCCCAGTCAAGATTTTGACAGCTATCGAGAGGTCGAGATTTTTTCTTCGGATTGCTAAGCTAGGAAGCGATAGCAATTTAGAACGTTCTTGACTCGCTGGTATAAGACAATAATTTGGACCCAAAACTCTCAAGAATAGCTTTTGAGTGAAATTATTTACGGGCCCTATACGGTGAAGTAACGACAGTGCCGAATTCAACAATAGGGTGTAACAATTTATAAGCACTAATCAGGACACTGGGTTTAGAGGTACGAAGCGCCTTGAATAGATTGTTCGGCGAACGGCTTTGGAAACAACAATGTTGTAATGACCAGATAACTGAAGCTTATCATTGAATATAAAGCTCGAATCTTTGATTTCAGTAACTTTGCTCAGATTGGGTTTCGTCTATACCATAGGAAGAATCGATTGTTTTGCTTCCCAGCACATGACTTTGGTTTTGTTTGGGGCTAAAAGTAGTCCAAATTCCTTAGACCAACGAGAGATCGAGTTGATGCAGGACTGCAATGATTCGACGTCAGATGAACTGCGTAGATTTTGTATATTTTTATATCGTCTGCATATATCACACATTTGCAAACCTCAGCTTCGACGATTTCGGGTAAATCAAAAGTATAGATGAGGAAGAAAATAGGTGACAAAGCCTCGCCTTGTGGAACACCACTAGAAATGGAGTGAAGCTTGAGAATGCCGTCAGAATAATCTGTTTTGTTTTTCAAGACAGAGCAGAATCATTTGCAATATCTTTGCAAAGAAAACTGAATTCGACTTTATGCCGTAAATTTTGTTGATCATAACTGTAGATGAAATACAGCTACATAAAATGAAAATTTCCATTTTAGAAATATCCCGTCTGAAAATAAAATAGATTTAGAGAATGCGTTGATGAGATTCATATGCATAGCATCTTGCAAAAAAATAAAATTATTTCTACATCGTAAGTGCATCTCATGTTTATAGGTACAATAAAAATTCAAATAGTAAAAAATTCTTTTTTTTTTCCAAGAATTATAAGGTTTATTCCTTGCAGTTTCATATCAAAATCAAAGGTACGAAGTTGGTCCAATTCAAATCCTACTTTCATTTGAAAATTCATAAGATTACGGTAATGGAGGGGGACAATCTCAAACATTGCAAAACAAACCTTCCATAAAATCCCTGCTCACTTAATTATAGCCGGATCCAGTCAAACAAGTCACATGGTACTATATGCAATGCTCAACGGCCAGAATGGATTGGACAGCAGCCAACAGTAATGGAAAGTATGTGATGGATGCTATCAATCGTATAGCTGCAGGTGCTAAAAATTTTTCACAATTTTATCTGTAACTAAAGGTTTTTTTATTTAGGAGAGCAAGGATTTATCGAGACCCAATTTCCATTTTATATGTTGTATCAAGACGTGGGTGTGAAAGATTTTCCAACAAGAATTGGAATGGGCTACTTGCTTGGTAGGAATAGATGTTTTTACACTTTTTGAGTCCCCAGGCTATGAAGCCGCCCACTCGTCTGTGATTGGTCAATGTGAATTACAGTAAACCTTGCCCTCTCGTCTGTGATTGGTCAATCTAAGTTACCGTAACCTTTGCTCGCTTTAGGATATCCCGCGGGTTGGGAGGGCGTTGCCACTCTGGTCACACCCTTCGTTGACACCAACTGGAAGGACCCTCATGGTTCCAATGGATATGCATACTATTTGGATCAACCAACCACTTTGCTACCGTATACCTACCATGTCAACGCCTGGAGTCTCTATCAACAATCGTAAGAGATCAAATCAATGCCGTAATTTTTAGAAGGAAAAATCAACTTCGAATTTTTAGAATGGTCAACAGCATAGTCACTACCATGAATCTACTAGCATCAACTCAGAAAAGGTTACTGGACCAAGGTCAACTACTCCAAGATGCTAAGGATATCGTAGCTTTAGACCATCTCCTTGCTTTGACCTACAGGTGAACCATCAGAAATATCTTGATCTACAGTAGGAGTACTGTAGTCTTATTTTTAGCACTGACGACACCACACGACGTCAGTTTGACCGCAGTTACAATCCGATGACTATCAAGCAATTGTCTCAAACTTATGGAAACATCAGTTGGCACACTCTGATACCTGAGGTAAGCCTGAGTCGAGGAAAAGCTTGGATCATCAAAATCATTTATTTTGTAGTCTGTTGGCACAGCACAAAATGTCCAAAGCAGATTACTGAGCGATCCAAATTACAAGTATATCGTGATGGAGCCACTGAAGCTGCAAATGCTTAATGATATGCTTGGCGATCCCAAATGTAAGCCCAGTAGAAAAAAACAGAGGGAAAAAAGAATCTTGAAAACTTTATATTAGTCGACATCAGTGGCGTACCCAGGATTTCGGCTCGGGGGGGGGGGGGGGGGCGCGGCAAAAAAAATTTTCAAATGAAGGTGCGTGGCGTCAGCCACGCACTCCGAAAAAATTTTAGGGAGGCTTCTCAACAATTTTGCGGGCCCTCAACCCCTAAAATCTGTAAAAAGGGGGCGTGGCGTCAGCCACGCCCCCGAAAAAAAATTTTTTATAAGGCTAATTTGAATTTTTAAAAAATTTTAAAAATTATTTTAATTGTTAACAAAAATAAACAAGTCATTTGCACATTTTTATAACGCATGTAAGTAACTTTCAAAAATTTCGCGACCCGTTCTCGGGGGGGGGCGCGCGCCCCCCCCCCGCCCCCCCCCTCGGTACGCCACTGGTCGACATGAATGTGGCCTAAATATTGCCTAGTTGTGGTTTTAGTGCCCTTGCGTAGCCGGCAACCTTAGTGCGTTGTCATTTTCACGCGCAAAAACTTCGCAATTTTGACGTTGACTCAAAAAATTCTATTACAATGCACACATGCACAAACATCTATCTTCGTCAGAAGCATGACATTCGTTCACGCTCAAATATTGTCGTCACCGCAAACGCACTAAGAACTACTAGACTGTACTCAGAACTTGTTTTATGACAATATAATAGCTATTTGCGATACAGCAAAGTTTTTTGTACATCCATTTGTGTAATTAAAAGTCTTCAATGAAAAACTTTAAAAAAATTTTCATGTGGACGAATGAGGGTTCTTTTTCGGATTTACTATAGTTGAGATGAAAAATTTTAACATGCGTATCAATGTCATATTGAAGCCTTTTCAGTCGTCTCGCCAAGAACTCTCATCAACTACATTTATTATGCAGTTGTGGATGCTAACGCAGATTTTCTGCCATGGCCTCCTCAGGTAAGTTCAAATTCATTTTTAGAAAAAATCCTGTTCAAAATTCAACATGATTTCAAAGCATTTTTTCAGCAAAGCTCAAAAAGTATGGCGCGTTTCCACATGAGCCGTCCACCTATTGGAAAGCCAAGACGGATCAGACCAGGTCCGATCCAGATTTATTATCGCGGATGTAGTGCGAATACAAAATTTCCAAATTTTAGAAAAAAGACGATTTGAGAGGAGGCAATACGACGAGTTGGTTGCGTCTCAAGTAGACTGTGCATCGGAGACGATTTTCACATTGCCGGTAAGGTCACGTCTAAAAGCGCCCGTGCCAGCGCTGTGTCTAAACCGATCAATCAATACGGGGCACGTTTACTGGGTTCCGACACTGTGTTAGCACGGCTCTGGCACGGCATTGACGCGGCGCTGACAATTTGCTGGAACCGGACCGGCACAATGTCGGCGCAAGGGCAACACAGTCACCTTAAGTTCAACTGGAAATATGCATAACTGCAAGATGCCTTTTAAAAATTTTTACGATAGTGGTGATAGAGTGGTTCCTAAGAATTTAGATCACGATGTCTTAGAACAAATCTTTGTATGTTTGATAGTGAACTCTAAAAGATACTTTCAAGTGTTGAAATATGCTGCTTTTCATATTTTTGAGATTTCCTCCTTATTTGCAGTATGCCAACGCTCGTGTGTTCATCGATAAAATCTATCCGACCGCTGCTTCGCGAGCTCAAGTACGAGACAATGTTGCAAAAATTGCCTCTAGCATTCTTATTGGTTCGTCAGCCTATTTGATTAAACGCTATTGATCAATGCACTAAAGAAATTAGGAGATAAAAATATTTTTTTAGGTTTTCGCTCAATGATCGATCAGCTCAACTGGATGACATCAGCTTCGAAGTCAGGAGCCTATAATAAAATTGAAAATCTTGTCAAAAATATCGCTTACCCGGATTGGATCACTGACGATGCGCAGTTCACCACCTATCATCATGTAATAGCACATACCTACTAAATGCTGTCATTTCAAATAAAATTTGAAAAAATTGAGGAACTGGGCGTGTCTGTCAATGTGGACGACTATTTCACCATGGTCAGAAAAGTGCAACTTTTCAATACGTATCAATCTTGGATCTCGCTACTCGGGGGACCAGCAAATCGTATCGACTTCAACGGTCCACCTGGTACAACGAATGCTTGGTATCAGGTTAGCACACCATACCTTATGTTTACCTAGGTTAGAATATCCTCACTTGCAGCCGGAGCTGAATTCGATCACCTTCCCAGCTGCAATTCTTCACAAGCCATTCTATGACCCAACATGGCCAACAGCTGTAAATTTTGGAGCCATGGGAGTCATTGCTGGTGGGTCCACATACACTCAAACATACCGAGGGGTTCCACAAATTTTCCAGAGGGCTACAAATCGAGAAGAAATTTTTGCAATAGCTTTTCAACTTTTGCATTCGAAAAGAGCGCGTAGCGTTTTTTGCATAACTTGATTTTTTGTAAAATGTTTATTGAACTATATAACCTTTGATTGAACTGGCTTGGCTTCAAGAAGGCGGAACTCTATAGCCTGATTAAGACCGCTCGCCCCCGCGGCGCACCTCATCTCTCTCGCGCGCACACTCTCTGATCATTATCTAGCCTTAATTAGGTCACGAAGCCCCGCCTTCCAGCCGCCAATTCACTTGAATCAAATGGTACAGCTGGAAACAAGTTACTATATAATGTAATTATTTGGCTCGCATGACCCCCCCCCTCCACAGCGAGCCCTTCCTATTTCCACCACTTAACGCCTGAAATATTTAAGGTCACGAGCTCACCCATGGTTTTGACGATCAAGGAGTCCAATGGGATGGCACGGGTGTACTTAGCCCATGGATGGACAACTCTTCCAAAACCGGATTCAACAACATGGCCAACTGCGTGGTCAACGAGTACAACGGCTTCTGTCCTTTAAATAAGACAGTTTACGGTAGCGCATCTTGTATCAATGGAGCACAAACCCAAGGAGAGAATATTGCGGACAACGGAGGTACTGAAATTTGGGTTTGCCTTATTTTCATTCTGAAGGGAGTATTGGTCCTTCTAGGCATTCACGCAGCTTACCGGGCATACAGGAACTTCATCAATCTTTATGGTCCGGATCCACAGTTGCCCGATGAGCTCTTACAAGAGTTCACCGCTGATCAGCTTTTCTTTTTGAGTTTTGCTCAGGTAAGGGCACATCAAGGCAAACTAGCTAATGTTGGTACCAATGGAGCCGAGAACTCTAAGAGAGCTGGATTTTTGCAAAGTTGAAGACCTAAGGTTGAAAGTTTTTTGAACTGATAAAGAGGATGGAAAGAGTTTATGCACTCTAAAAATTGTGGAAATTCAAGGGTCAAAAAATTTGTACCGAATTCTGGAATAATGTTGTTCTAAATGAGACTGTTTGAAACACTTATATAAGTTATTTTATCCTTAATTTTTTTCAAATGACGTACACACTGTGGACTCTATATTCTATTATACAACCCACTCATTTACACACAGTTACATAGTTTTCCGTATAAATGCAGTAAACATTGCTAAACCAAAAAAAAAATCAATTTTTTGCCAGTTCCATCAAGATTTTTAAATTTTTTGCCAGTTCATTTTTCTGGAGGAATTTTCGAATCTCAAAGTAGGTTTTTTTTGCTTTAAGGCGGCAATACTTATACCCTTTGATTCAACTGGATTGGCGGCTGAAAGGCGGCGCTCCGTGACTTAGTCAAGGCTAGAAAACGATTAGAGAGCACGAGCGCGACAGACGCCGACTGCGTCGCGGGCGCGAGCGGACTCAATTAGGTCACAAATCCCCGCCTTCCAGCTGCCAGCCCAGCTGAAGCAAAGGTTACAATAGCTCTTGCGCAAAAATTCAAGGTTTTGGGCGAAGAGAAATTTGATGTGTGATATGCTGATAGTTTGACTAGTTGGCGTGAACTTTGAATCTATTGCCTTCGAACTTTGGGGTGCGATAAATGAATGAAATCGAAAGAATCAACAGAAGATTTGAATTTCAAAATCCTCACTAATAAGTTTCCGTGCAGATCTGGTGCCAAGAACCGTATCCTGACAGTACCGAAATGAGACAAATACTTGTTGATCCCCATTCTCCATCACAATATCGTGTTTGGGGAACAATTCAGGTGCGGATAACTAAATTTTATTTCTATTTGGGAAAACGATGTTTTAGAATTTCCCCGCATTCAAAGATGCTTTCCACTGCACCACATCTGCCTATGCTCCGGACAAACATTGCGACGTTTGGGTGTCGGATATTGATTCTTGTGAGTGTTCTATTTCTAAAGTCGCGTTAATGGTTGCCTGTGCCAGCGCCGTGCCAGTTCCGTGCCAGCGTCGTGTCAATTGGACCGATATGGGCGTGTCCATACAGCTGCTGGCACGACGCTGGCGCACGGGGAACTTCGAATGCAACCTGATATATTTCAAAGTGTAAAAATTTGATCGAATTTTTAGCATATGGTAAACCGGAGGTCAAAAATGAGCTGAACATCGAGACCAACAAGCAGATCACCACCGCTGACTTTGACAAGTATAACGCTTACAAAATGGCTGTGGACTATTATCAGGTGCCGAGTTTTTAGCCATCCCCCCCCCCGTTCACCCGAAAATATATTTTTGATTTCAGTACTCCCTCAATGCTAGTGCCAATCCGTGCGATGACTTCTTCGAGTATGCTTGTGGCAACTATGATAAGCTGGTAAGGTCAGGGTTAAACTTTTTTTATTTTCCAGTAATCAGCCCACCTAGGTATCATTCCATTATGCCGATGCCAACAACTATGAGATCATGGCTGCCCAACTGAACAGTCCGGCTTATCAAAGCACCATAAATGTAAGAAATTTGCTATTTGAAACTGGATGAGAGAAAGAAACGACTGAATTTCCACTGAGTAAACACTATGCCCTTCTAAAAAATTTTGATTCCAAGTTTTCCGCAAGCTCAAATATTTCGGATAATACAAGGAAAATTTTCTAAAAATGAATTACCCACAAAGCCACTTTAATTATGATTTTTTGAGCAACTTTGATTATTTGCAATAAAAACAACTCAAACGCATAATTGTGAAAATCATGAAGATCAATCGTAAGATATTCTTAGTCCAATTTCAGGAAAGAGAGGGGTGTGGATTCTAATAGCAATTAAAAGTTTGTTGCTCATGTATTGCGATGTAGTTGTAGTTACGTTGAAGGCATTGTCCAGGTCAATTTGGGGGGGGGGGGAATTTTGACGCAGTGTGGGAGCTCGGCTCCTGACTGATGTAAAGGTTCAAGTCCGATGGAAAACGGTGGATTCTGAGGAGAGAAAATCGCTTCGGAAAAAAGGGGCGGTCCGCCAATCCCGCCTCCTTGACAAGTTTTGACGCGGATAATACATTAGATCTACAGCATTCGCCAAGTCAGAACTGAACTTGTCAAGGGGGCGGAATTAGCGGACCGCCCCTTCTTTCCAAAGCGATTGTCTCTCTTCAGAATCCACCTTTCTCAGTTGGACTTGAATCGTTGCATTAGGCAGGAGCCGTGCTCCCGCACTGCGTCAAAATCCCACCACTCCTCAGTTGACCTGGAAAATGTCTTTAACTTATTAGGTTGGTCCGAAAGTTCTGTCCCACCATATTCAAAAAATCATAACTTCTTTCTAACACAATGTTTTTGCAAGGTTAAAACCACATTGAAAACAGAAATTCGTGCACTTTCTAAAACTGCCTTGGCTGCTATTCACTAAGCTCTGAATGCAGAGAAAAAAATTGGGAAAACGGAATTACTTCGAGTTTGGAATTTTTAAGCAAGCCCGTTAAAAAATCTAGAACTGTGTCATAAAATCCAAAACAGGCAGTATCCTAGGTTTTTTGATCCCCTCTTTCCAGCTGAGCAGGATTCGCGCGTGATCGAGCTTTTTTGAAAGAAGTTATGATTTTCAAGAAAAAATGCCAAAAAATCAGTTTCTTAAGAAAATTGATTTTTTGACATTTTTTTCAAAAAATCATAACTTTTCGGAAAACAGCTAGATCAGCGCGAACTTTGCTCAGCCAGAAAGAGGGGATTAAAAAACCTAGGATACTGGCTGTTTTGGATTTTATGGCACAGTTCTAGATTTTTTAACGGGCTTGCTTAAAAATTCCGAACTCGAAGTGATTTCGTTTTCCCATTTTTTTCTCTGCATTCAGAGCTTAGTGAATAGCAGCCAAGATAGTTTTAGAAAGTGCACGAATTGCTGTTTTCAGTATGGTTTTAATCTTGCAAAAACATTGTGTTAGGAAGAAGTTACGATTTTTTGAAAATGGTGGGACAGAACTTTCGGACCAACCTAATAGAAAAAAACCACAGTATTGAAGTTTTCGCTTGTATTAGGTCGTTTCAAAAGTAATTTCGCTTTTTTCAAACGGGCGCCACATTTGATGGAACAAAGGTTTCTAAGAGATCTTGGAGGCATTCGATGCAGAATTTTATTCTCTTTCTAAAGAATATGAAACTGTTGCAAAACAATCAATGAGCTTTCAGAAAATAACGAAAACTTGCGACACATGCTTTTTAAGATGGTCAAGTTTCACAATTTTTCAAAACTTTCATATCAATCCTCAAAGGGAGTTCAAGTAAGGATTCGATAGAGTAATACTCATAGAATACAGTACTACTTTTTTCTCTTTCTTGTAGCTCGCCGTAATTTTTTAGAAGATTTTTTAACAGAACCATCGGATTTTGGCAGGCCCACCTCAGCCACAATCGCAGCAAACATCATAATTTTTCGGAATTTGAGACTACCAAGACTGTACTATGAGTTAGCACTAACTTTACAAAGCAAGTGAGGGTTTACGGGTTCGAAATATCAAATTTCGCGATTTTCAGGTACAGCATGAGGCTCCTTAAAAAAATTAACTGTGATGATTTTATCCCCGAAAACTAAACGAATCGGAAACAAAAACCACCTGTTAGAAAGAGGAGAAGATGCTGCGTCGAATAGTGGCCGAGCTGCTCTTCCTTTGATGTGCTAGGAGGATTTAGCTGCCCAAGTATGAAAATCGGTAGCATCAGTTAAAATTCGGTCAAAAATGTATGACAAGCTATGGAAAGGATAAAAAAGTAGTTTTGCATTCTATATGGTTTGCTCTATCGAACAGTTACTTGAACTTCTTCTGAGGATTGATGTGAAAGTTTTAAAAAATTGTGAAACTAGACTATCTCAAAATCATGGGTCGCAGACTTTGGTTATTTTCTGAAAGCTCATTGATTGTTTTGCAACACTTTTATAACCATTAGAAAGAGAACGAAATGCTGCATCGAATGCTTTTAAGATCTCTTAAAAACCTTTGTTCCATCAAATGTGGTGCCCGTTTGAAAAAAGCGAAATTACTTTTGAAACTACCTAATATAATGGAATTAGGGAGAACTTTGTGTGAGCTTTTTTGAATCCATCAAAAGTTAGTCATATTTAAACTTCTCCAGCATTCAACAAATCTACTTTTTTACCCTCAAATTGCTCACTGCGATTTTGAGTAAACGAAGCGATGCGAACTGTCAAATTTTTCAAAATTTGATTATTTCTACTGAGGTGACTAAAAATAATAGACTAAAAGAAATCCCTAGAAACTTTACAAAATCATATATTACTCGGGGAAAAACACTGTTATTGTACCCTCTGTTTCACTGGAATTGGCGGCTGGAGGGCGGGACTTCGATCGATTAGAGAACATGTAAGCGTGGAAGAACAGGCTCTGCATTTCTCTCGCGTATGTGCTCTCTAATCGACCGAAGCTCCTCCCTCCAGCCGCCAACTCTAGAGAAATAGAGGGTAGACTTTTTTAGAATAGAAAAGCGATAGTTTGTCTGTTTTAAATGAACATTTTTAGAGCTCCAAAGCCTTGATGAAAGAAAAAACTTTCTCTGATGCTTGCATCGCGGCAAATATCAACGCTACCACTACCAACTCAACCCTGGTTTCGAAGGATTATCTCATGGCCCGGGTAAGTTTCTTCTCTTCCACATAATGTATGTAGATAACACGTAAAATATGAGAATAATGGTAGAATGTTTCTTGCAGGTCAATCGACTGGCAAATTATCTTGGCTCCAGCTTTACCTACTCATTTGGCGGTAACGTGGCTGCCTTACCCAACAGTAAACAGTTGGCAAATGCGCTCGCTTATCTATCCTTCACGCAGGTACAGTCGCAAAATTAAAAATGTTTTTTAAGCAGGAAAATTTTTTTATGAACCTGAGAGAGTGGAAGTTCCAAATATATAGGATGTATTAGTCTCCTGATTTAGGGCATCGATACTTTGGTAACCCCATTTGTGGACACAAATTGGAACGATCCAACAAAAGGCTATAGAATGTTTATGGATCAGAATACGGCGTATATGAGGTAACAATGATGATTAATTAGCAGTTCTTTTCTGGAAAGAGGTGGAGTAGATTTCTCGGAATGGTCTGCTAAAGTTTGTGAGCCCATATTTTCAAAGAAAGGCTGAATAGTTCTTATAAAAGAATTACTGAAACAAAAATAGCTAAACTGGAGATTAAAATTTGAAATTTTGCTCAAATGGCTCTCAAAACTTTGGTCTTCCATCTTTTCCCTTAGTTTCTATATATCTATTTAGTAAAACCTACTATCCGCTCAGCGCCTTCAAAACGATAGAGGACAATTATATCAATACCGCCACAAATGTTATTGGAAACTTCACCATGGAACAGGTTTGCGCTTACTTACCTCAAATATTTATAAATTTAGGTTGAGGTTCCTTTACTTCTAGGGTGTCCCCTTCAATAAAACTGCTCTGAGAGACAAAGTTAAAGGCCTTGTTGAATTCGAGCAGATGATTGCTAACAATTACAGGTAAATCCCTTCCATATTTTAAATTCCTCTAACAAGTGTTGTACCTTTGATACAACCAGTTTGGCGGGCGGAGGGCGGGGCTTCGTGACCTAGTCAAGGCTAGAGGATAATCAGAGAGCACGTGCGCGATAGAGACGCCCACTGCGTCGCGGGCGGGAGCGACCTCAATTAGGTCACGAAGCCCCGCCAGCCGTCAATCCAGTTGTCAATGGTTAGTCAGAGATATATATTTCAGTACTGACGATGGAACCCGTAGAAAATATGCTCGGTCATGGAATCTGATGTCTATCACGGATCTTCAGAATAATTACGGTTTTATCGATTGGCCAACTTATTTGAGACAGGTAAATAGAAGAATGTGATACAGGTAACTCTAAATAGAAAAAAAATTTAATCTTGTAGGTACCAGATGTAGCGCAGAGCGTTGTCCAAAACCCCAATTTCATGGTTTCTGTCATGGAGGTAGGAGATTCTACTGAAAATTAGAAGTGCTTACCATTTAATCTTCCAGAAAGATCAGTATGCGAGCATGACCCGAGACTACAATAGTCTTGACAAGGAGAAGTTGGTGAATTATCTCTTTATGAGACTATTGCTGTCGAATACGGAATATCTGCCCACATATGCTGACAGCTTTGTAGGCATGCCAGTAAGTCTTTCAGTTCATATAAAATAAAATGCTTAAAATGGGGAAAATGTGAAAAATTAGGCTGAACCACCGATTGCAGAAAAGCGCCGCCGCAAAAATCGCAGTGCGGCGCGGATGATGCCTTTGAGTCGTAGTTAGAATGCGAGAAAGATAGAGACGCAGACAAGTTGAACCGCGCGATAGAAATCACTGCGTGTGCTGTTTGCAGCAATTTAGCGATTCCACCGAGATTTTGAAGCGAAAGTGTCTTTGAGGTCCTGAGAGGAAAGCGTAAAACCCGTTAATCTTGTCAGCAATAAAATCATCCTATAGCTAACATAATCGTCTTGATATTCACTCGAAAAAATGCAAATGTCATGGGATTAACGACCAAGTTAGAGAGTGTCCCAATAGAAGAGACGCAGACAATCCGCAACTGCGTCCACTCCGCGCTCAAGATATCATCTTTAGCTGTAATTTTACACAACAACTTCTGACTGGCTGAGAAATCAATTTCGCTTGATTTTACTTCGTTTTTAACATACTTTGAATATTCCCAGGAAGAATCCTTTGCACTCGGACGAAAACGACGACATTCTCTACGTAGCAGCAAGAAAGACGCTCTTTCGGATACACAAGCTGCATGCGCTCAAACGGCCAACGATCTCATGCAGTTTGCTAATGGACGAGTTTTTATCGACTACCTCTATCCTGATGATGCATCGAAGAAGATGATAAGGAGGTTAGAATTTTGAAAAATAGACTTAACACAAAAACTGAATTTCTAGGACCGCTGGTGGATTGATCTCGAATGTCATTCACTCGTTCCAAGGAATGGTAGATCAGTTGGATTGGATGACTGTTGATACAAAGAGGAAGGCCTATAACAAGACCATGGAAATAAGTAACGAAGACATCACAGAAGTTATCTGATCTGCATACAAAAATTTCCAATTTAGTTGAAAATATCGCTTTCCCGGACTGGATCATGGACAATAAACAGCTCGACGCATACTATCAGGACCTCATATTTGACCCTACTGACAATTACTTTGATATGTACTCCAAGCTAATAATGTAAGAGAAATTTATTTATTTATTTATTTATTTATTTATTTATTTATTTATTCCTATGCATATCGGCATGCTTTCAAATAAACAGCAGACATTACACAAAGTAGAGCAGCAAAATGAAGTTGGAGTAAAAACAGAGAAAAGCAAAATATTTTTATCGGCTCACTTACCTGTCAAGCACTGAAAGAATCTAAAAAATTTGATTCGTCCGCTTTCAGCCTCGTGAAAGATTAGGACCAATTTTACAGATTCAACATAAGACTACAGTACAAGCAGCTCACGTTCTTTCAAACCGATCGTTCTGACTTCCTCGGTCAACCTGGAACTGTCAACGCCTGGTATCAGGTAGCTGAGGGTCATGCCCCACCATAGTTTCCCCAAAAAGTCCGCGATTTTAGCCTGAATTGAACTCGATAACATTCCCAGCTGGTATTCTTCAACCGCCATATTTTCACCCGCTATGGCCAGCATCCATCAACTACGGTGGCATGGGCATCGTCGCAGGTATTTTCTCTGCTGAAACAAAAATGCACTTCTAAAAATAAATTATTGATCCATCTATAAATGAAATAATTTCAGGGCATGAACTGACTCACGGTTTTGACGATGAAGGCGTACAATGGGGTCCATCGGGTGCTTTATCGACCTCATCGTGCGCCAATTGCACCGGATGGATGGATGCAAATTCTACAGCTGGTTTCAACTCAATGGCTCAATGCGTCATTTCAGGCAGGTTTGCTAAAGATAGAAGTCCGCATTCTATACGAAGTTTATGTCTAGATGTTTGTTGAGAAGAAATTTTTATGTTAAACGAAAACGAAAAACCCGCTAGCGATCTGCTGGAAATTACGGCTTTAATGCAACGTGCACAGCAATTAGTTCAAACTCGAGCTGAAGCTCTAATACGAGCATCTAACCACATATACGAGCGAAACGAGCAATACATCCATGCTTAAATCTCACAGAAAGCACCTCTCCCCCCCCCCCCCCCGAAAAACTTTTGAAGATAAGTCCTGACTTTTCTAACAGTTCGGACTTATTCGACTGACTAAGAACCAGTAATCTAAAGGTGCTTTTTGGAAGAGCGTTTGCCTCGGGACCCGCCGCTGTTTCCCGCTACTTAAAGAATTTTGAACGGTTCTACATATACTACTGAACCAGTGGTCTAAAGGTGCTATTTGCAAGAGCGCTCGCTTCACCCGCCGTGGCGGGGGTCCATGTCGCGAGGGTATTGCGTCACGTCTACGGCTAGCTAGTCTGCGCTCTCCTCAATCTTTTCGCTCTCTGCGACAGCGCGAATATGCAGCGCAAACTTCTCGCGCTGCAAGCGCGCAGATTCAGCCGACGGTTCGGCCTGGTCTCGATTGATGCAGACTATGTCTATCTGTCTGTATCTATATGCCATATTCATTCTCTCATAACGTGGTATTGAAACTTACCGCGTAATGCCTGCCTTCACGAATGAATCGTTACTGCTCATTCCAAAACTTCTTCGTATGAGGTCGGAGTTTTGACTGAATGAAACATTGGAAGATGAAGAACAAATGCAGAATTAGAACACTTTTTTCATGGCTTGGTATTCGCCATAAGGATAATTTCCACCGTGTCAAATGCTTACAAGGGAATGGCCAGAAATCGAAGTGGCCAATTCAAGCAAGCTGCATACCATTAGATGCAGCATAAAATGCTGACTACGAATCTGTCTCCCTTATCTGCAGACCACATTTGTGGATGGAATTATAAGCCGTTAAAAGCCATTATTTTGCTAAGAGATTCTGTGTGTAAATGGCTGTGAATTTTGCCGTGCAGAGCCAATCCTGGTTCAGTGCTAGACCAAAACATGCATCTAGGTCACTTCATATGGCCAGTACCTAAAGGTGAACGAGGGCAACAATGTGCCTAATCTCGCGATTTTTGTGTACGAATTTTCGCATTAAAGCTGGTCATAACCTCGCTTACAAAGGCGCTCTGCGGATATGGAACACAGATTTGAAACCAGCTTTCTAAGTTGTATCGAATGGTATGCAGCTTGTTTGGATTGGCCACTTCGACTTCTCACCATACCCTTGTTAGGTAGAAGCCTGGCAATTTGACAATAACGCAAGCAATTCCTTCAATATTATCCATGTTCGACTATCTATTAATCTTGGCATGATAGTTATATTTCACTGGTCTTCTTTTTTACAGCTGTTAACCCAAGATTGGTAAAACTTTTTATTAAGACCAACGTTTCGGCGATTGAAAAAGTCGAGTGCTTAGAAAACATTCCGTCAGCTACCGCATCACGACCGAGAAACAAGCCTGATCTGTCAGTGAACCAAAAGAAATCAAATAACAAGTGCAGGCATGCTATCTAACCGTCAACAATGATCGAGTTTTTATTGTGCCAAAAACTGACCAACGCTTTCATTTACAGATCTAGTGATCCGGTTTCGGCCTGTTGTTATTGCAGAAGCCACATAGCGTCTGATACGGGGCCAGTTCTTGGGTGATGGCTAAGCACTCATCTTTCCTATTCATTTTAGGACTTTCAGTAGCGATCCAAAACTCCTCTAAAGTTTTGCGTGTGAGGATCTCGGGTTCGCAAGCTAAGATTGTAATCTCCATGTTTATTTCTGCATCATTGTGGCGCTGTCGGCGGTGCATGCCCAATGGCTTAGTAGGATTTGATCTTCTAAGCCCGTCTAAGTGTTCGTTAATACGTGTGCATAATGGGTGCCCAGTTTCTACCTATATATGATTTTCTGCATGACTGACAGGTAATATGGTACACTACACCAGAAACCATACAGTCACCTTGCTTTCCGAATGGGCAAATAACACAATTGGGAGCCGTACATAGTCTGTCATAGGCTCGATTGCGAACAAGTTGATGTTTGAGATTGACAGGTGGTATGTCAACGACTCGTACCCAGTCCTGTAATTCTGCTCGGTCTATCAACTTCCTGACTGTTATACTTAGTTCTTTTGACACAAAGGGAAGCAGAATGGAATTTTTGTTTCGGTTGCTGCACTTCTGGTACTGTCATTGCGTTTGCGTATTCCATAGTTGCGCTTTTTAGTAGGGTACCCATTTGATCTTGCTACCGTTTCTGCCAATGCTAGAGAATAGATTTTTTCTTTGGTTCCGGACGAGACGTTTGCAGCTGTTTTATACATGTTGCTAATTACCGACTTTTTGGTGTGGGCCGGATGCACTGAAACGTAGTGCACTAGTATATTCCTGCTACTTGGTTTACGATACCTTCTTGTTTTGGATTCGCCATCCTTCAATCGATACTCAATGTTCAAAAAATGCTAGCCAATTGTTCGTGAATTTGTCTCGAGTCAACTTGATATGCGGAAATTTCTGATTCAAAATCTCGTAACAAAGGTTAAGTTCGGCCTGAGTTGGACATACAATGAAACGGTCGTCTACATAACAACAGTAAAGCAAAGGTCTTTTTTCAAGGACTAGCGCTTCCACTTTCGACATAAATACGATAGCTAGCGTTGGGGCTAAACGTTGTCCCATGGCAAGGCCTCTAATTTGCTCATAATAGTACCCGGACCACCGAAATATTGAGCATTGAAGGCATTCATTCAGAAGGGTCATAATCCCTCTGATAGAAACGCCGTGCAAGTTAAGTGAAGATTGGTGTTCTTGCAATAGCTCAAAAGTAGCTTCCATAGCATCGCGGTTTGACACATTCGTATACAGTGCATTCACATCGAAAGACTCTATAATGCTGCCTTGATCTACACGCGTACTATGTAGGGGATCCAAAAACGTAGCGGTATTAGAGAGGTGCAACGGGACATATTTGAGCAGCTGCGATAGTATTGAATTTAGATACCAAGCGATCTTATCCGTTGGACCTCCAATACCGCTAATGATAGGTCTAATTTTGAAGTCCTGTGGGTTATTTAAACGAAGACCGCTGGGAGGCAATTTATGTGTCTTTATTAGGACTGGGAAAGCGGGTCCGATTTTTGGACTAGTCGCTAACCCTTTTGGTATACCCTCCGATCGGGCTACTTCCACCCAAACTTTGTTCAAATGACGATATTGCCTTTTAAACTCCGCTGCTGATGATGGTTCATACACTATACTGTCTTCAAGATGGAGTTGCGTAATAGCGATATCGAGCTCACGGGACGAAACAACGAAGTCTCCTTTTTTGTCACTTATAGATAGTTTGATTTTACCAGCGACCCAGAGATCTCGAACTTCACGTAGTTCGCGGCGTTGGGCAGGCGTCAAATTACTGTTCAAAGGCGCTCTCTTATACTTGCTCAAGACCGAAAAGAGGGAAGTGGCAAATACACGGAACTTAGTGTCTACTACCTGATTGGGTTTTTGTGGTTTGTAAAATAAACGTGGAAACGGCAATACAGGCAATTTGGTATCAGTGGTATTTGCTTCCGATGTTATGCTTTCTATCTGATTGGCTTTGTGACGCAGGCGTTCTTAAAAAACTTGGAGGTTTCCCACAATCTTGCGCGATACCCTTGGTCCAACAAATTGAGTGGGCGCGAAACTGGGACCTAGATTTAACAGTGAAAGTGCGTCGTCAGAGATGTGCACGTCGCCAATTAATGAGACACGAGAAGCACTTGATATGCTATCTGAGATATTAGTACAGTTTTGGCTTTCAGAATTGTTGTGGTTTGCATTAGCCAACCCTTGTTGAAGTTGACGTTTTTGATCCACCAACCTTTCAAACCTTTCGAACCCGAGATCCTCACACGCAAAACTTTAGAGGCTTTTGGATCGCGACTGAAAGTCCTAAAATGAATAGGAAAGATGAGTGTTTAGCCATCACCCAAGAACTGGCCCCGTATCAGACGCTATGTGGCTTCTGCGATAACAACAGGCCGAGACCGGATCACTAGATCTGTAAATGAAAGCGTTGGTCAGTTTTTGGCATAATAAACACTCGATCATTGTTGACGGTTAGATAGCATTGGCCTGCACTTGTTATTTGATTTCTTTTGGTTCACTGACAGGTCAGGCTTGTTTCTCGGTCGTGATGCGGTAGCTGACGGAATGTTTTCTAAACACTCGACTTTTTCGGACCCCGAAGAAGGCGAAATCGCCGAAACGTGGTCTTAATAAAAAGTTTTAACAATCTTGGGTTAACAGCTGAAAAAAGAAGACCAGCAAGCAATTCCTTTTGGCGCCGTTTTCGTGGTAATAGACTTTCAGCCCTTTCTTTGGCTAAAGGTTTTGGCTTGCATATTGACTTGTTAAAGTCAACTATAACTCCGCAAAAAGTGGTTATACGGACCCAATTTTACAGGCCGGAAGCCAAGTGAATCCGTTTGAAGCTAAGTTTCTAAGGAAAATTCAACAAATCTGCTCATGCTCTCGCACGAATCTAGACTTGATACCTTGTCTGCGGCTCGTTCTGGGAATTTCGTTACACTGACAGACAGAGTCACAAAAACACTCTTAGCCCGTTATTATAAGTCATGATAAAGGACTTAACTGTAGGACGGACTTAAGAGGACTTATCTGTGTTACAGAGTCGGCCGAATGTTTAATAGGTCTGGTTCAAAGGTACTTTGAACCTGTGACGCTTTGCAAGCAGCTGTGGCGATCACAGGGGTGGAATAACTGAAGAATAGTACACATAAAGAGTGGGTAAACAGTGAACATAACACATAGATTTACTAAGCAGGGAATGGTTAGATCTTAACCCAGCCATACCAAACATGCTGTATATCATTCGGACTCTTCTTAGAACGCTGATCACAAGTAGTTTATCTGCCAGACAATTATCTGGAGGAGTTATGAGTGTTTAAATGTGCGATTTGTTAAGTGTTCTGTGGGGCATATTCCACGAATGAGGTTTCAAAAACACCTATTTAGATTTTTGATGAATGTACTTCTTCCTTGTGATCAAAATACCATAGCCGCTGCAGGTCCGCGCCATCAGGCTGCCTTGCGAGGAAATATATTCGTCGAAACTCGAAGAATTTCTCATGTTTGAGCGCTCATAACTCTCCCACATAGTCGCTTGGCAGATAAAAAACATATATTTGCAATCAGCGTTTTAAGACGAGCCCGATGATTCATAGGTTGTTTGGAATAGCTGGGTTAAGTCCTGACCATTCCCTCGTAAGCTTTACCAGACTTTGCTAACCACTTACATATGTAAGCTGATATAAGCACTTTCCATCAAGATGAGAAATTCCCTGATAACATGACAGTGAATAGGCAAGAAAATGTCGTGACTCAGTACTTATGATAAAAAGATGGTGATTAACAAGCCAATAAGTTTCTCAATATTATCCCAGTAAATTCCAAAACAGAAAATGTGCCCTCCCAACATGATTGACAACAGCGAAGGAGTTTTTGAATAATCATCCCAGTAACTTCCAATACAGAAAATGTGCCTCCAGAAGTCCATCTTTCAATTGTAAATAGAAGAGATGATGATTGTAATTGCGAGACAAAATGGGATTTACTTTTGTAAAGCTTGAGAGTTTGACCAGTTGAGTTTGAGGACAGTGCAGTGGAATTTGGACGATCTCTCATTCGTTTATGACGAATGGGTCACCGTCATCTCGGACACTTTAAGGAACTTCTTTCTCTACGGGACGCGATCATAAAAGAAAGAATTAGTCAGTTTGCTGTCAAAAGTTATGTAGCCTCGTGATCAAAGAGTTTCCACTTCCGCGTTATCTGCAAACCCTACATTCCTTTATTTCGTTTGTAGCAGAAAAAAAGAACGAGCACTATGCACACAACTAATGTTTTTTACTTCTAATGATAACACGACTTTCAGAGTATGACAAGTTCTGCCCACCAAATCTTAGCCAGTACTCTCCGAATTGCGTGAATGGCGTGCAAACGCAAGGAGAAAATATCGCAGATAATGGAGGTGAGCCAGATATTGGTCGGTTTTCGCCATTAAGATGAAGTGTCTTAGGCATTCATGCTGCTTTCCGTGCTTATCGTACTCATATCGCCTTGGACGGTCCAGATCCACTGCTTCCCGACCGGCTGTTTGGGCAATTTACTCACGATCAGCTATTTTTCTTGAGTTTCGCTCAGGTACGGTAGCTTGCAGAAGATAGTGCTAAACGGAGCTGTCTGCTTCCTACTAGACATAGCTTCGGACACAGCCTATAAGAAACAGTGCAGATTTAAATATCGTCAGTCCTCCAAGACGCATCACTCTAGATTGCAATTTTCTTAATTCTTTCCATGCTTTGTTTTCAAACACATTCAACATTCTGTTTTAGGTATGGTGCGAAAAGCCACGCTCCAACGACAAACTGTATCAGCAACTGATGGTTGATCCGCACTCGCCTTCCATGTACAGAGTATTTGGAACAATCCAGAACTATCCTGCCTTCAAAGTCGCTTTCAACTGTCCTGCTAACTCGGCTTACACACCCTCAAGTCATTGCAACGTTTGGGTTCCGAATACGGAGCCGTAAAACATGAGCAAAAACACCATCACCACTTGTAACTGATTCTCTATATGCAAAGAGAAGTCACGCAGTTGTGAATGAGGAGCAACCTTATTTCACAGTTATTTTTTGAAGCTTATCTTCGTCACTAACCATGTCTACTTTACAACACAAGAGCTTTACTTATAATATCATGTCTCTACCTCACCATATTTATTGCTGCTATTGAATGTTCCCATAAACTTTGCAATAGTATCACTCTTACTGATGTAGTGAGTCAGGTTTCTCAGCTCGACCACTCATGATCGGCTAAGGCCAGGCAAGGCCGACCGTCAAAATTCATGGTACAGATTAGGCAAAGATCTATCGTGTACGTAAGTACCATATCTTAAGGCAAACTGAATTTTTGATGCCGTAAAGTAATACTAAGTGCGTGGCAAATTTTAAACTCGCTACACAAATTGATAGATTGTCGGCGTACATGCGAGGATAACGTGACAGAGAGCGTGTGCACTAACAAGGGAGCAAGGAAGCGGTTCATAAGCATACTTCTTTCGCACATAAATTCGTTCCCTTTTTCTTTTTGATGAAGCACAAATCAGACTGTTTCTCCTTTTTTGGGTAAAGCCATGAATAGCTGAACCGTCGGGTAGGCCGCGAGCTGAATAGCAGGAAAGGCTGACTAATGCAAAAAATAACAACTTCGTCGGGTGCTTGTGCTGCGGCCTTCGAATAGCTAACTTTCGCAACACGAGCAGGTCAGTTGCCCATTTGTCGTTCTTGAGTCAAAGTGTAAAAAGACAAGAACAGCGGCATAGTGCGCTCGCAAGATAATGGTCATATCTGGTCATTAACATTCGCAAAACAAAGGTGATCTTCGCCGAAACGTAGTATTGATTGTTGACTGTACTGACAATAAAAAAAGGAACTACCAATTTTGAAAAGCTACATCATATAACGCAGTTGACACTATGCCATTCCGAAATGATCAAACCTGGGATGTCAAGGAAAAGATACTGTTGAAAGACGTGTGGGTGCCACTGACGAAGTATCGTGAAGGTGATAACCGCCGTTCTCTCTCATAACCATCAATCTTCTTATATATAAAGCTGAATGTCTGTTTGTATGTATGTCTGTATGTATGTATGTATGTATGTGTGTACGTATGTTCCGAATAGAAAATTCCATTTCTGAACCGATCCGGACCAAACTTGGCACACATACACTACGGGCCCCGGCGGGTGTCATAGGCTACTTTTCGTCATCGATCGATATCGATTTTATCGATTTTTATCGATTTTTTTGCTGAGTTCACCTACGGGGCTGGGAGTTGGCACAGGGGGGTAATCGAGCATGGGGATTCCGAATACAATATTGGTTTTCAGGATTATCGATTACTTTCATCGATTTTATCGATTTTTTTGCAAAGTTTGAGCTACGGGGCTGGGAGTTGGCACAGGGGGGTAATCGAGCATGCTGATCATCCCCAAGGGGGGTGATCAGCATGCTCGATTACACCCCTGTGCCAAATTCCAGCCCCCTAGCTCAAATTTTCAAAAAATCGATAAAATCGATGAAAGTAATGGACGATCTTGAAAACTAATATTGTATTCGTAATCTGCATGCTCGATTACCCCCTGTGCAAACTCCCGCCCCGTAGGTCAAACTTTACAAAAAAATCGATAAAATCGATAAAAGTAATCGACGATCCTGAAAACTAATATTGTGTTCGTAATCAGCATGCTCGATTACCCCCCTGTGCCAACTCCTAGCCCTGTAGGTGAACTCTGCAAAAAAATCGATAAAAATCGGTAAATTCGACATCGATCGATAACGAAAAGTGGACTGTGACACCCGCCGGGGCCCGAAGTGTATGTGTGCCAAGTTTGGTCCGGATACGGCGGAGCCGGGTAAGCCAGCTAGTTTATCATAAGCATCAACTTGAGTGAGGCCAGAGCTGAATGCCTTGGGTAGCAAGATGACGCATGTATCTAGCATAAGGTGTAAACGTTACAACTTTACTACAAAGATCATTTTTTAGCGAAAATCCTTGCAACGACACATCGACGTGATGTCTCCAGTCTCAGCGCTATCTTCGACAAATTTGCAGCTCTGAGACTGAATGACATAAAAGTAACTGTTGATGGTGCAATTACATCATCTTTGCTACACTGATTACATCGCTGATAACGCATCAGGCAGGTGAGGAAGGTTCTACATTTAGGTTCCCAAGAAAACATTGGCCTGCTTGATTCAGCAAAATGTTTACAAAAGTAGAGATGTTCTGTAGGGAGGTTCTAAGGATCAATAAGACCGAGAAGCGAGTAGAATTTAGTTATATAGAGGAGTGTGTATATGGAATGAAGAAGATCTAGATCTAAGTGAGTACACCAGAAAAATTGGTAGACGGGGCAAAGATAGTGAAAAATATCAGAAAAATTTCTTTAATGATTTGCAAATTTTGACGTATCCATTTGAGCTTAACGCAAAGAGCGGCTTCGTCATTTTTGTCGTATTTGCAAACGACGATAATATTTCGCATGCTTTGCGCAGTTTGATATCAATAGACAGTCCAGACACGTGATGCAGTTCAACAGTAACATTAAGCAATATATCTGAAAATTAAGTTGCATTTCTTCCCTGGGTTCCGTCTGCACACATAATTATCCCAGCGAGGTTGAGGCAATGGAGGCATTTGCGTGCTGGAGGCATTGTAAAACGTCAAATGTAATTTAATACACTTCGATTCAGCTGGCTTGGAGGCTGAAAGGCGGGGTTTCGTGACCTAATCAGGACTAGATGAAGATTAGAAAGTACGCGCGCAAGAGAGACGGCAGGCTGCGTCGCAGACTCAATTAGGTCACAATGCCCCGCTCTCCAGCCGCCAAGCCTTTTGAACCAAAGCATACCTAATAACTGACTGCAGTACAAAGCTCGAGCAAAGTTCTCTACGTGTAAGAATCTAAACGGAAGTGTTCAAGAAAACGAAGGTTCTATAAGACGGATCAATTCACGTTTGCATCAGTGCAGCTCACTATTGATTTAAGGATGAAAGAAATAGATGAAAAAAATATTGCCAAGTACGATAACATTTTATAGATGTTGCAAAATTTAAAGATAGCAGGTTTTTTAATTATGCTTTTTTCTTCCCGAATTAATAAGCACTTAGCATTGCCGTGTTTTTAGCAGAAGTAAAATCGAAGTGACAGTCTAATGATTAAAGTGAGTCATGCATGAATATGTCATATATAGTAATTGTAGTGAATAATGACTTTTATTGCCTTTTCCCGCGTGTCACGAGGTGTCACACACCCAGATTCAAATGACTTGGCGGCTGAAAGGCGGGGCTTCGCGATCTAATCGAGGCTAGATAATGACCAGAGAGCACGCGCACGGGAGAGACGCAGAGTGTGTCGCGAGCGCGACGGCCTTGATTAGGTCACAAAGCCCCGCCATCCAGTCGCCAGTCCAGTTGAATCAAAGGTTACACACAACAACGTAATTGCAGATTTCATCGCAAGTTCACTTAATGCCTTAAAAAGTTAAGAGGATTTTGCAAAATGAGTTGACGTAAGTGTTGGAGTGTGCTGTATAGCTTTAAAGACTTTCAGATGTGGGCGTTATAGACTGATTTAAACTACATCGCTCATAAATTCTTGATGACTAACTTTCTTACGATGATGGGTGTGCCAAAATACCTTATCTAGACGGCTTTCCGGAATTATCGCAGGAGAAAAAAAGTACGCAGAGGCGGTGAAATTCCAATAAAGTACATAAGCAGCTCTATTTGTGCTTCTTATCAAGCTTTCAGCTAGAGGCGAAAGGCTGGTAGCTATGGCTTCAAAAAAGCTCAACTATGTCATTTATGTAAGTCTACTTTCGTTTTCATTTTACATTTGTACAGATGATGAAGCAGCAAGAAATCAGCATATTCAACTTTTCGTCCTAATCTGGCTCTATCAAACAGTTCAAACGTTGTATCTTTTTATAGTGTCGCTCAACTCATTCTTTACGGACGGAACTCCGCCTGTTTGTTAGATGATCTACTGATCTACTGTTGACTGATATTTTTTGGCTACCACTTTCTTTCGTTTTCTTACAAGGGAGGTTCACAAATTAATGGCCAAAATAGAATCAATCGTTACAGCTCTCTAGAACTCAAATGAAGCAGCGGCAAGTGCCAGCATATTTCGTGCAATAAAATCTTCTGCCTAGTATATCCTACTTCCTAATTCTCCATTTGACGTCTAAAATTCATTTTCTTCCGCTTTGAAAAATGCTCATAATTTCTTTTTTAAAGGTGCTCCGCAAATAAAGAAAACAGATTTAGACCCAGCGTTTGAAGCTCTCCCTAGCGGTGTGCAGCTTCTGATGATCGACCACTTTGACTTCATGACCTCCCTTGTTAGAGGATAAATTTCACAAGCGGTCATGACTACTTTGCTTTATTATCAATCAGATTATTACATTAATTCGAGCTCAGGAACGCTAACCGATACAAAATCTCAAAAGAGACTCCAGGAATTAGCCAGGACCTTCAAAGCTAGAAACTTTCATACAAGCGAATAATGTTTGCATTCCAGGGTACTGTAGTCACATCAATACTCGCTACACTAGGTATTAGTATAGGGAATTTAGTGGAGACTCTCAAGAAGAAAGATGAGGGACCGTCACCTTCACCGTTACCTCCCAAAGGTATGTTAACCATTTCTCAAATACATCAAAAAATTGCTCATTTGGTAACATTATCCTAGCATTGATTGTCAACAAAACTTCTTGCCATTATCTTATCGGAGCACTACAGTAATAGTGAAAGGCCTTGACGTGAATGTCTCGAATTCTTTTGAGATCTGCCATCTGCAATGGTTGTGTGTTGCAATGCAATGTGTCAATTAATTGCTTGTAAATATGTTCACAAAAAATACTTATAATAAGCCGGCAAGTAAATATAGACTGCTGCATGACGAAGGCGCAATAACTTCGGGTGCGAACGCGGTTTTATTAGCCGCAGAGCGCATGACGCGCAGGATTTACAACAGTGTGGATATGCGAACGCCCCGTTCGCGCCCGCTCAGCTTATACTGCTTCTGCGCCTTCGTCATGCAGTAACCTTCAAGCGTTCATTAAACAAATTCTCAAGTGAGAGTCGCTCTGGTTTACCAAATAACAAAATATTGATTTCCCTTTTTATTGCGGACAACATTTTACACTAGGACCCAAACAGAGCAGGCTAAGACTTTACTCCAAAAGCACAGAATCAGCCCCACTTCGAGCGGCTTCGAGTGGCCTGCAGCTTACTGGCTTAAGTTGGGCTTAGACTTGTTGGGAACTGCGCACGGAGGTTCTGGCTGACGGGAAAAGGTACTCGATGAACGTGGCTTTTTGATATGTGACATGTGTCACGACATTAGCCTTGAATCGCTTACCTCAAAACAGCGTTCGTTATTTGCGGAACGATTCTTCGAAAATACCTTGTCTTATGTTAGCATCTGACGTGTTTGCAAGACTATTAGCAAATTCGACAGATGGCGAAGGTGTCGAATGCTCTAGTGGTTAGCGTTGTCGATTATTGCACATTAGACGCCGCTTTGATCTCCATTGATGCAAAAATTCTTAAAGGCAGCGTCCCACCAGAATGGGGGTACCTGGCTCTCGTAATGATGTAATAGTAGACCCCATACCTAAGCGATGACTGAAGCTCGGAGCGAAAAAGAGGGTCTACCAAACCTGAAATTTGGTCCGAAAGTGGGCGGAATCTTACGGTAGGCTCGGGCGAGTGCGAGGTGCATGCAAGGTAGAGACGCAGAGCCGTTGCGGGTCCCTCCGCTCATGATATGTGCGCTATACGCACTCTGGCACTGCAAATCGATATTGCCGAGTGGGCGGCGTTCGGCCCTACCGTAAGATTCGGCCCACTTTCGGAGCAAATTTTAGGCTTGGTAGACCCCCTTTTTCGCTCCGAACTTCAGACATCGATTAGGTAGGGGGTCTACTATCACATCATTACGAGAGCCAGATATCCCCAGTCTGGTGGGACACTGCCTTTAAGCTCCTTTCACATGCGCTAATTCTTTTGAGAAAAGCGTTCTGCAAATAACGAACATAATCTCGAGGTCAGCCCCTTAGGGCAAGTATTGTGGTATATAAAATATTCTAAAAGGTTACGGTCATTAATTATGCTTTTTTGTGAGATGTGCCCAAAGGTTGCCGAACAGAAAGTGCATCTGTACGATGGCTTTACTTTGTCATGCGATCGCGAATGTTTGAAAAAATTCCTAGATGGTGTGCATAGTTGCGTAATGCAAAATGAATTAGTACGGAAAGGACTCAGACAAATGACCGCAAAGCGCTTGCGAAAGTTCCGCCGGGTCATCTGCGGAAGTTCCGAAATGAGGTCCTGCGAAAGTTCCGAATAATGCCAACGACAACAGCAGAGGAGAACACGGAAGCGAGATTTGAACCTCACTCTATCGACTGTGAGACCCACCTACTATCCTCTACGAACGGCTGACATGTTCAATAATGCACTTTAGTTGTTGGCGAGGCAACATCACGAGATAACACATTTAAAGTCCTGGGAACCTCTGGCATTTTTCGGAATTTCCGCAAGATTTTGAAGAAGGTTCTGCGGAAGTTTCGGTCTTCAATCAGTTTGGCATGAAAATCTTGCGGGAGTTACGAATTTCAACGTTTTCATTTTTGCAAAAATGAACAAAGTCCTGCGGAACTTCTACAAATTTGGCTTGTCCTGTGGAAGTTCCGATGATTTGTGAGAAGGTGTAGAAATGAGAAAGTGAATGAAGATAGAACTAAAATGAAATCGTAGCACCAAAAAACAGAGCCTCTGGAAGTAAGCAGGCCAGACTCTAAAATGAAGGAGCATGAGAAATCAGCCAGATGGATTAGTTAACAAAAACCTATCGAATAAAAAATACAAAAAATTGAAGACTTTGCAAAGTTTCGTGTGGCAACTGAGTAGTGACAAATTATCCCTATACTGGAAGACGACGAATTGGTAGCATCCAACAAGGCATAAACAGTATTGTTTGATCTAAAAAAAACGAATATCGATCTGTCTATTACCGCTGACTTCGCCGATCACGCTTCAGCTGCTAGTTGGCGTCAGTCCTTCAACGCAAAAATGCAGTGTACACTTCTTAAAGTCTCTTACAACGTCGAAAAAATCATCGAGTAACGGTATAAGAAAATGAGAGATTTTTGCTTTTGTCAATATACGTCTCTCATCTTTGGCAAAACCAACAGAGCATACATCACGTCATTAGCTCTGTCAAGTTGGGGAAATCTTAGCTTTTTTACAATGTAAGTAATTTATGCGACAGAAGTATGCCTGAATTTTTCTGCATAGATTATGAGAGGTGCTTCATGGAACGTTTAGTTCAAACAGTAAACACTGTTTCCCTTAAACTTTTATGGTAAACAAGTGGAATGAAAAAGCGTATGTTCACTTGCGTCCTGATGTGCTAAAGCGTGCTACCACCTGTACTCCCCCCCCTCTTACGCTCCACATATTTGGCAAACAAGGAATGATATAAACCTTTGTAGGCAATCCTCTAAACCTGCAATCGCCAAAACAGATCGAATCTGGTGCTTTAAAATATGAAGCATACAAGGATGTAGTGAAACATTTCAAGTGAGTTGAATGGTTTTCTTCTTCGCGTGATGAATAGATGTTTAGCTATTTAACTATCAACAATTGGAACAACACTTCACAATTATAGGAATTTTCCTTCAAAATCAAATCTGTTATACACTAAGCTGTTCCAAAAGTTCTGTCCAATTTTTAGTTGCCTTGTGTTCAGTATAGCTTTCGAAAAACTAGAAAATGCTCTTTTATATGCTAAATATAATCTAATATATCACATCTAATGGGGCTATATCATAATATATAGTAGGACTTCCCAGTTACCAAATTTCAAGCTCTAAAGCACAAGTTGCCATTAGTCATACGCAAGAAAAGTTTCCTATGAAGAAAGTATTCGCAATGTCCTTAGATCCACCCACGTTAAAAACCGTGATGGTGTCTGTGATCAACATACGCACTTTTTATCTCCACATAGAAATTGGATTACTTTCCAAGTGTCGAATATTGTTGTGCCGAACAGGTTGTTAGGTGGTCCTTTTATTATCAGTACTCTTTGGCCTTACGTTTCGACGCTTTCGTCTTCATCAGAGGCCTGGAATGGTTCAAAGCTTCACCCGTAACTCCAGCCCATCAAACGTCTCCACCAGCCCCTGCCAGTTCTCGGCTCTCCCCCAATCTAGTGCTATAAAAATTGTAATGACAAAAGACATACCAGGGAACCACCGCTTCTTTAGATGTCCGTACCGGATGTAGATGTTCGCGACGGACGATTGAGCTATACTGAGGGATGTCACATAAACAGTTATAGCTCACTTAATGATAAGAACGGAAGAAAGTCAGCGCTTATGGATAAGCACTCGTTTTTGTTGTTCATTTCTGGATTCTTTGCAGAAATCCAGAACGATTCTAAGGTTTTCCTAGCCGAGATCTCCTTTTCAAGCGTTGGGATTATAACTTTGATATCAAAGTCATCTCCACCATGCTATTCGTGTCTGTGTCTGCCAAGCGGCGAAGTCAAGTTCTTGCGCCTTTTATCTGACAAATGCTCTTTGATGCGAATGCCAAGTGTTCTACCTGTTTCCCCAATATAGCGTGCATTACATTTCATACATTCAAGCTGATACACCACTCCCATCTTCGCACAGTCACCCATTCTAGCGTGCGGGCATATCACGCATTGCTCTGTATTGCAGTATTGATCGTAAAGCCTGTTACGTACGAGCTGTTTTTTGATATTATTGTTGGGAACGTTCACTAACATAATATCATCTTGCAGCTGCGCACGAACGATGCACTTCTGTATAGCCGCGCTGATCTTATCAGAAATGAATGGCAAGCAAAGTGGAAGTTTGTTATCAGCCCAAATGTTTTGCCATTTCTTCGATGGTGAACATGCGATGAAGAATAGTAACCGTTACTGCAAGCTATTTGGGTAGCCAGTCTGCGTGATTCGCATCGCTCCTCCTCTCTGTTGCACATCTGCATCGCGGTTCTAAACATATAAACAATGACAGCATGCTTCACAGAAGCAGGATGTGCAGATTTTATATTGACGGGGATATTTTTGGAGCTTTCCTTGCGATACCATTTGATTCTTACAATGCCAGCGGTCACCTTTATGTCACCTTGTTTATGTGACATCCCTCAGTATAGCTCAATCGTCCGTCGCGAACATCTACATCCGGTACGGACATCTGACGAAGCGGTGGTTCCCTGGTATGTCTTTTGTCATTACAATTTTTATAGCACTAGATTGGGGCAAGAGCCGAGAACTGGCAGGGGCTGGTGGAGACGTTTGATGGGCTGGAGTTACGGGTGAAGCTTTGATCCATTCCAGGCCTCTGATGAAGACGAAAGCGTCGAAACGTAAGGCCGAAGAGTACTGATAATAACAGGACCACCTAACAACCTGTTCGGCACAACAATCTTCGACACTTACGAACATGCCCAAGTTTAATGACTACGGAACATGGAAATTATTGGATTACTTTCCTTTTCTGGGCTATTCTACCAGCGCTAACAATCTGCTCACAGCGACAACTAATGTACTCAATATTGTATGCATCAGAACAAAGTTGATGCATGCAGGGACCACCATCCCGATTAGCTTCCTTCATCCAAGAAAAAAGACCAAAAATCAGAGGGTCGGCACCAGTGGTGTACAGGGGGGGGGCGACAAAAAAATTTTTCTAAAGAAGGTGCGTGGCGTTAGCCACGCACTCCGAAAAAATTTTAAGGGTGCTTCTCAAAATTTTTTCGGGTCCCCGACCCCTAAAATCTGGAAAAAGGGGGCGTGGCTGACGCCACGCCCCCGAAAAAAATTTTTTTACAAGGCTAATTTGAATTTTTGAAAATTTTTAAAAATTATTTTTAATTATTTACAAAAATAAACAAGTCACTTACACATTTTTATAACCCATATAAGTAACTTTCAAAATTTCGCGACCCATTCTTGCCCCCTCGGTACGCCACTGGTCGGCACAATTGCTCCCGGAGGTCTCTAATGGTGTTTATTTGATTTCTTCACAAAAATTCCCTTGAAAAAAAAGTAATGTAAACTTTTTTAGCTGCGATATAATCTTTATGGGCTCAATGATAGCTGCCAAATTGTATGTGTATCTTATGTGGAAAGTATTAGGTTGTCCGGAAATTAATGCAGGTTTTGAATTCCAACCGCAATAAGTCATACACTTCTCATTTCTAAGTAGGTTGCAAGGTACCGTTCGATAGAGCAAAGCAAGCTCTACAAGATGGCAGTCATGATTTAGCAACAGCTCCAATCCACAACGAGTTTCGAGCCAAAAACTAAAAAGATTTAACTACCCAAAAAATTGAGAAAAATCGTAACTCAGTTCATAAAAATCCTATAAAAATTCTAACTTGCTCACGTAAACACTGTCCACATAAGACGTATATGTACGCCGTTGCCGTATTTTTTTCTCGGTTAGAAACCAAAAAAACGAAGATTTTCATGTTTCTGCCAAAGTGATCCTGTGCCGTTCCCACATGAGTAGTTGTATATTACAAACCTGTAGAAGTACAAACGTAAATTTTCAGCTCTCTACAAGCTTTAGTTTTCGAGAAATTCGAATTTTAGCTTAAACCACATGACTGAGAAAACTATATTCGATATTTCTCGAGAACTAAAGCTTGTAGAGAGCTGAAAATTTACGTTTGTACTTCTATAGGTTTGTAGTATACAACTACCTATGTGCGAACGGCGCAGCACCACTTTAGCAGATGGACGAAAATTTCCGTTTTCTTGATTTCTAACAGAGAAAAAAATACGGCAACGGCGTATTTAGATGCCTTATGTGGATTGTGTTTACGTGAGCAAGTTGGAATTTTTGTAGGATTTTTACGAAGTGAGTTACGATTTTTCTCAATTTTTCCGGCAGTTGAATCTTTTTATTTTTTGGCTCGAAACTCGAGGTGGATTAGAGCTGTTGCTAAAGCAAAATAGCCATCTTGTAGAGCTTGCTTTGCTCTATCGAACGGTACCTTGCAACCTACTTAAAAATGAGAAGTGTATGACTTATTGCGGTTGGAATTCAAAACCTGCATTAATTTCCGGACAACCTAATATTACTATGTCAGAAGAGAAAATTTGATAAAACTTCAAAATACTCCAGATTTTCACCTCTTTCCGCTTTTGCCTCTTGTCTGCTTTTATAGTAGGGCGCCGCCTCATATCACTACGACACTAGTCCCCCAATTTGAAATGTTTGCAAATATAAATCTTGAAAAGTTACAGTTGTACATAAGAAAGAAGTGGCTACAAGGATAGCCTAGGAATAGATACGTCGCGGTAGTACCGCGTTCGACTCACTAGAACGCTCAAGAGAACGGATCGTTTATCGATAAGATCAAGACAACAAAAAGAAATGAGCGACGAAAAAAAAAGAACTCAATACGAACACGAACCAAAACAAAAACAACGACTGATTGCAATACTGCCCTAACGGGCGGAGACAACTCGAGGTCAACAGTTTTGGCGCGCTTTCGCAACACCATTGATCTTCAATAAGTGAAGGCAAGAACCCTTACATAGATACCGCGCATAGACAATGAGATGCAAAAAGAGATCTGAAGTAGCAAGAGAACGACAAGGTAACAAGAAAAAGGACAAAACACAAAACAACATTGAAAACACAACACAACATTGCCTAACGGCTTACCAAAAAAAAGTCAATGAAGCGGACTAGTCTAGTCAAGAAAATCAGAGATACCGTATACCAAAAAAATGACACCTCGGTTACATCTCTCCCCCCCCCCTACGACGAGTGTCGTCCCTGACACTCAATAAGGTCTGAATCGGTAACTAAAATATCTTCCTCGTCCTCGTACGGGTGCATTCCCTGGGCGTCCATAAGGGCGGCCCCGTCCATGTGGCTCCGGTCTATATCCCGTTTCTCCGTGCGGTCCGTCATCTAAACTTCGAGCTTGCGGGTGATGTTCGAATCGACGTCGTGGCCAGGAAGAACTTGAGTGATGTTCGAATTCATTATATGAGTAACTGCTATGGTGGTGACGTTCCGTTGGATGGTGTCGACTTTTCTTCTGTTTGGGTACTTCCGTAAGTGGTTCTAGGGGTACGTCTCCTTTCACATAGTCGACCAGTGTACTTAAGAAGTCCCAGATTACTGCGTTCGGATATCCACTTTCTTCGTCTTTCCTCGCTTTTGTGCCAACTGCCAATGCGGGCTCAGACACAGATGGAGCGTGTGGTATCTTCGTAACGATGTTGGCTCTCGTCGCGTATGCAGCGTCCCTTACTGTATTCATCATGTCTATTACCTTCAGCCGTGTCGATTCCCAATCGGGTTCACCCCTTGGTGGTGCTACAGCTACAATCTTGGAGCCGGCTCGTGCTACGCTTGTAAAGCTTAGACTCAATCTCATCCATTCTCCTTCAGGTGGCGTTTCATGTGATGTGGGCCCGACGAAGATTATATTGTGCGGTTCTTGTAATTCTCGGAGCTTCTTGCATATGTCTGAGAGATTCTTATAGATGAATGCCGTGGTCTATTCTCCGAACTGCACTACGT